GATAGTCCCTGCAATGGGTGGATCTGATGTAAGCCCTTTTTTTACCAAAAATCCCTAGTTTTCTCCGATATTGATTTACAAGTTACATCTTTGGGTAAAATAACAATTTAAAGCTGTAAGATTAGTGATGTTATCATGTGGCCTTATAACCCCAAAATGTTTTCTGTAAAATTAATGCACTGGTCTACTAAAAGCTATTCTTATCAGTTCTTTTTCATTTTTCCTTATGTTGTAACATGAAAGGAGTATCTTCAATGGGTTAAGAGAAATTAAAACCATGCTTTTATGTTCAGAACAAAGGTAGGGATAGATAACACAACTATAGGAAACCACCTTAAAGATTGTTTACAATCTCCTAGAGATAGTAATACGAAGTATGTAGGATTTTATATCATCTGAGAATATCAAGATTAATGTCTTTTCAAGAGCTTAGACCATGCTGAATTTCTATTTGTCTCTTGAGCTATTTGATTGCGGTAATTATAAGTCTACTATGCCTTCTGCACATTGTGATACCTTGTTAACATGACCAGGGTGACAAGGCACGGGTCATACAAACTCTCCTATTTGTGGCAGGGATTAACACCCTCTTACAAGCATTGTTTGGGACCAGGCTACCTGCTGTAGTTGGAGGATCCTTTGCTTACCTTGCTCCTGTAGCATACATAATAAATGACTCATCACTGCAGCGCATTCCGGATAATCATGATGTAAGTTCATCCTTCACTTTGTTTGGCCAAAGTGCTTCCTAGCTTTGTCCTTTCTTTGGTTTAGCAAGGTTTCTAAGTGGAATAGAATCGGTACACTTATGCATTTGTATTGATTTTCAATAGTTAAGAAGATCGGAAGTATGATTGAAGCGGAGTGCAAATTGATCATGAAAATTTAAGCCTAGTGATTACGCAAAAAAAAAAAAAAAAAAAAAAAAAAAAAATCTAATTTTCCGTCAACATCTCCCCCCCCCCCCCTCTTTCTCAACAAGTATTCTTCCTAACAATGATTATCTGTAATTGAATGTCCACTGCATGATGTTGAGCATTTTAGTTGTTAAAGGTTCTGTCAAATTGCCACATTTTACCCTTTTGTATCCTTTTTACAGAGATTTATTCAAACTATGAGGGCTATTCAAGGAGCTCTTATTGTTTCCTCTAGTATACAGATTATTCTAGGTTACAGCCAACTTTGGGGGCTCTTTTCACGGTATGTATTGGATCTTCTGAGTCTCCTGACTCTCTTAGTGTCTAAGCGGTGTATTTCTCTTATTAGTTAGCATTTTTGTGCTGATATGTACATTTACATGTTTTTACAGATTCTTCAGTCCTCTTGGCATGGCACCAGTTGTTGGTTTGGTCGGCTTAGGGTTGTTTCACCGAGGATTTCCTGCGGTAGGTACCAATGGACTGAGGAGATGATTTACACGTAGCATATGGTTATTCTAGAGAGTGATTAATTATTTTTGACCATTTTTTTTTTCACGTGAATGGACCTGAAATCTGATGCATTGAACTTCTCTAAAAATTATTCTCTTACTTTATATGTAGTATGTTATTCAAACTCAGGCACTCATGTCCAACACAACTCATGAGTACCAAATATCATATTAGCTATTTAGCTTATATCAAATTTTTCTTATATTTGGTCCAAATTTAAGTGTCAAGCATCCATACCTATGTAGGATTGTCTGAATAGCATACATTTTCTTTTCTTTCACTGGATATTACAGCTAACTATTTCAAGCTCCTTTTTCATTTCAGCTAGGGAACTGTGTAGAAATTGGGCTACCAATGCTATTGCTCGTGATTGGATTGTCTCAAGTGAGTAACCTGTTAAATGAACTTGTACTGGTTTTCTCTAAGAAATCTTAATAATTGGTATTCTGGTTTTGTTCATTGTAGTATCTGAAGCATATCAGACCATTTAAAGATGTCCCAATATTCGAGAGATTTCCTGTCATTATTTGTGTCTCGATTGTATGGCTTTATGCTGTTATCCTGACAGCAGCTGGGGCTTACAGACATAAGCCAGGACATACGCAGAACAGTTGTCGTACAGATAGGGCAAATCTTATATCAACTGCCCCATGGTAATTATCCCTAACAAAGCTCATAGCAGTTATGTGCATCTTGAGGAGGTGGAATTTTTTGGCTGAACTAAATGTTATCACTCTGTACGATTAAACTTCATGCAGGTTCAAATTCCCATATCCTTTGCAATGGGGCCCTCCTACTTTTGCAGCTGGCCATTCCATAGCTATGATGGCATCTGTTTTAGTTTCGATGATTGAGGTAACCGACCTTGTATCATTGGACCCTCTTACCCATTTTTTCCTTGCCATAATTAGTTAAATATGCATCTGTTCTTTGAAAATGTGTCTTAAGAACTAAAAATTCTTGAAGAGAACAGTTTAATTTGTTTTTCATGTATGTACCTTGATTTTAGGCTAATCAGTGATACAATTCTTTTTTTTCTTGTTTGGTATTTGTATTTTTTGCAGTCAACTGCTGCTTACAAGGCAGCATCTAGACTTGCAATTGCTACCCCTCCTCCAGCTTATGTTTTGAGTCGGGGCATAGGATGGCAGGTAAGTTGCTACAGTATTTGATTTATCATTGTGAACTTTTTATTTTGTCTTTGAGGATCATGCTTGTTGGCTTTATAAAATATAAACTCGCTGTTTGTTGTAGCCAAATTGCCTAAAGCAAGGTGAATGCCAGTTATGTGGATTACTTGAAAGTTGAAATATGTGAAATAATACTAGGTGCTAGGTCAGGAGTCAGAACTCCCGCGTGTACACCTGTTTGTGGTCTCTCTTACATGACAATATTTGTTCTTTTATCTTCTTATAGGGGATCGGAGTTTTGCTGGATGGTCTCTTTGGAACTGGCACTGGCTCTTCTGTCTCTGTGTAAGTAGTATCAATGTACCTTGATGGTCTAGTCACCTTGACTTGTTTTACTCTCCCTCGTGCTAAAGGAACCTATTCTGCATCATTTCAGGGAAAATGTCGGATTGCTAGGTCTCACACGAGTAGGAAGTCGGAGAGTTGTTCAAATCTCAGCTGGCTTTATGATATTTTTCTCTACTTTAGGTTGATTGATGTATTTTGTTAATTGCTAGTAACCTGTAACTATTAGTTTTACATACTATCGCCAACCCTGCTCCACTTTACATAATATAATGACTTTTATTTGTGGCAGGAAAATTTGGAGCTGTTTTCGCATCCATACCATTCCCTATATTTTCTGCGTTATACTGTGTTCTCTTTGGCCTTGTGGGTATGTTCCTCAACTTCATCTGTAAATTTTTCATGCCCTCAAATTATATGAATCTACTAAACTAAGTGAACTCTTTTCGTATGCAGCTTCAGTTGGATTATCGTTTCTACAATTTACAAATATGAACTCTATGAGGAATCTTATTATTATTGGGCTCTCTCTTTTTCTCGGGATATCTATTCCTCAATTTTTCGATGATTATCGATTAGATCATGGTCTTGTTCGGACTAATGCAGGATGGGTGAGTTCACTTATACAGCATTGCTTAAAAAAGTCTGTACTTTACATCACCCTATGTAATTTTAAATCTCTTTCAAAAGTTAGAACTATAGTTTCACAATAACATTTTGTTTATTAAATTCCTTTCATTTTCTGAAGTTGGAGTCTGTTTTTTTGGCAGTTCAATGCATTTGTGACAACCATTTTCATATCATCACCAACAGTGAGCTTGATCATATCAGTGTTCCTGGACAACACACTAGAAGTAGAAAGATCGAAGAAAGATAGAGGAATGCCGTGGTGGGTGAAGTTTAGAAGTTTTAGGGGAGATAACAGGAACGAAGAATTTTACACATTGCCGTTCAATCTCAACAGATTCTTTCCTCCTACGTAGTAATTGCCCTTGGAAGTCAGAAATGAGACCAGTAGACACTTTTTTATCGGTTCTGGTAATTCTAACCCGTGCTGATTTCAGACTGTCGATGGAAATTCAGCAACAACTGGATATAATTTGATCGTAAGAACGCTAAACCTTCTAACTTATCCGGTGTAAGTTTTGGTGGACCATGTGCAGTAAGGTCCACGAGGAATTAGGATAGTATATGATTCTTCTCAATGCCTTATCAGATGTAAATGGCATGCAATAAAATGAGCATGTTTAGCTTTGCCTTAACTTTTTGCAATTGTGCAGGTCATTTCTATATAAAAATGTCTAATTTCTGGATTATTAGAAAGATGCAGTACTTATACTGAAAAGAATGCATGGTTATATGCATGATTTATGTAACTATTCATTTTGGGTAACCTAGTTCAATTCAGAGAATTCAATTGATTTAGTTCTGTTCCGTGTATTAATTTATTGGTTTTTCTGGGTTTGTTGGGAGGCCGAATTGGTGATAAAATTATCCTACCAATTGCCGATTCCTATTCCCGGCCTCACTTGGATACTAAATATTTTATCTGTTTCAGAATAACTGACACATCAAACTATAGCTTTTTTGTATAACCTTTATTAATATTTTATGTCGGTCAAGTGCATCGACATGTTTTCATGTCCTATACTCTGAGACAAGTAATTGACAACAACTTTATTTAGCCATCTTAAAGGAAGGGGAAATCAGCTGAGACCCTGTAGAATGGTCAGTTTCGAGTCTTTCAACCCATTTTTAAGGTTTAAGCTCCTCAAACGACCCTTGAGCTTCAACCAAACATGATTACATGACATGTTAAATTAACGGAAAGACAAAAAATTCATATGGTGAATTTTTATTTATTTACTTATTTTTAACTTTAACAATCAACAATATTATTGAGCCATCTTTTTAAGGATTGATATAAAAGATTTTGGAATTTCCAATTGCATTTTGGGTAACTCACAAATCACAAAACCTAATTGATCATTTTGGGTAACATTTTCATTCTTTACTTCTAAAAAAAGAAAGAACAAAACCACAGAAGAAAGTCATCCAAATTCATATAGATTCCTGTCACATAGAAAATTCAGTATATAAAAGCCAAAAAGATTTCCAATTGCTTGATATCTCGGATAAGCACGATACGATTCTGGGTAACTTTAGTATCCTGAACCATAGTAATTCTTAAATCCTACTGTATGATAAATCTATACAGGCAACTAGCTGTTCAAGAAAAGCTAACACAAGGATCCTCTACTGCTGAAAATGAACGAATCGAACGCCTACAAAAATCTTAGACGTGAGGGATAAAAGCAGACAAAGATATTCCTAACAATTAATCACAAAAGGGAATATATACAATTGCAGAAACGTGTGTACGCCAGTTTCTATGAGAATTATAGCAGGAACCGATGTTACTCGAACTTGCGTACTGATGTAGGACACGGGTATATGTGTCCAAGTGTCAAATGAAGTGTCAAGAGTTTGAACCTCTGTTACTGAGACAAATTATAAAGCCCGAGCAAGATAGGCTGTAACAAACAAACTATGCAGTATTTGCCTCCTCATCTAGCAGTGGTGCTTTGTTTGTGTTGTTAAGTTCACTGATATTATGTTCACTCTCTTCATTAAATTTGTCTGGACTGCGGAAAAAGATCCCTGTAACCATAACATAAATTCGTAAATTTCACAGTAAGCAACACATACTTGTGTAGCTAAGCAAGTTTTTTATAGCATGAAGTGGTGTACTAGTTTTATACAACCATTAAATATAGCAGAGTTTAACTAGCTAAGCGAATAAGAGCTAAGGTTTACCATCTTACAGGTTACAATTTGTTATGATGTCTACAGTGCATTCTTTAAAAGATAAAAATTCTAGGGTAGATGGCTGACCTAGGAAAAATTTACCAACCCAAAACCTGCCTTAAAATATAGGGTTTGAACTGAGAATTGATTTTATCGAAAAGCCACTTTAAAACCTCCTACACCTAACTGAAAATATACCCATCCTAAAACCGACCCCACAGACTGATTTGAGAGTTTTAATTCCAGGTAACCTGCTAGAGACATAACACTTGCTGTCAAGTCAAGCTGCAGGGAGATGCATGATCCTCATTGAAGCAATTCAAAAGTGTTATAAGACTAAGAAAAAAGACCCAAGATTTTCCACATTTTATGCAGTAAAGGGAAGGTTAAGCCCGAAATTAAAGGTCGTAAAGACAATATCATCTTTCCCTTCTCTTTAGGGACGAGTGACGAGTGGCAAGAGAGAAGGTTAAGCTCCGAAATAAATTGTCGTTAAAAAAAAAAAAGAATGCAGACAATTTCTTACCTATAAACCATATTGCAGCTGCTAGAAACAAAATAGAAGTCAAAATTAGAGCTGTCTTCCTCCAATTATGAATATGATCCTGCAGCATGTATGAAACAATTTAGTGGAGGCATGAAAATGGTATAAATTCTCTGTAATATACTAATATGTATGCTCTTTCATCCTAGAATACTACAATTCTTATAAAAGATATGAACCAAGTAGTTGACCTGCAATGACTATTAATACATAAAGTATAATATGAAGCCTTCAGATGGAAAATAAGGAGCATATAGAACACAAGGGAAAGAATGAAGTGCAAATGTACCTGGAGAACACCAACAAGGGGCGAGGATGGTACATCTCCAAACACATGAATTGAAACCGTGGACATGGCCATAGAAAGTGGACGTAGACTGGGCTTAACAGAGTGAAGGCATACATAATTTACAGGGGCCTGCAGGCGGAAGAAAGGTAATATATTACACAAATATAATTAATTCATAATTCTGTTATGTATTTGTTCTCTTTCTGTCAAATTACTATAATATGAATGCCATGATAGCGAATAAACCACCAGGATATCACTGAATAAATATGATTTCTTAAATGTACCTGAGTTGCAAAGACAAGTAGTTCACCAATTGCGAAGAAAATAAGGAAATATATTTCTTTCTTGAAACAGAAAGCACCAAAGCAGAACACAGCTCCAAGAAAAGTTGAAGCAGAGAGAAGCTGCAAGTTTTCCAAAGAAAATTTATAATTAAATGATGAAAAAGGATCTTGACAATGAGCTAGCATTTATGCTGTGAAGAAAAAAAAAACCCATCAAGTAATTCTTCTACCTTAAAAGCATTGGAAAGTGTGGAGTTAATGTAATCAAGAACGAGACCTCCACCTATAGTTCCAGCCAATCCACAACCAACTGTAATCCCACCAAAGACCATATCCGCATTAGCCTATCAAAGTCACCAACATCGTTGAGTTAGTTAGACTAAATGCATTATTATTACAAGCACATTGCTACAAGTTACATCTCATTGTATACAACAGATTCCAGAGCTAATAGCTCAGGGACTTAGTTTGGTATCATGAACTAAGTGAGAACTTACCATGTTGTAAATATTGTAACCAGCCTTTGGTCCCCAGTATGAGTACGCACCCAAAACAAAGTTGTAAGATATATAACCTGGAGAAAACAATACAGACGTTTAAGCATCTGGGACAATTTTATGTCTAAAGGAACATGTCAAAAGTAGCCCTAGGGTTATGTTCAGGCAATGAATACATCTCCCAAAGTAAAATTACTAAATAGTTGTTATCATTGAATGACATATGATTGTCATAAGTTTCATGCTAAACACCATATTATATGTAATCCTTATTCATATCCCTTATAACTAGGATAAAAAGGACCTTTTACAAGAATAAACAACATTTGATTTCAGTGGTCAACCTGTTCTAATGTTTCCCACTAATTTGTAGGTATATGATAGGATGAGTTATATAACGATTTCATAGTGATTTTATAACTTTTATGAGTATTGTGTTACGTTATTTTTGCAATAATGACATACAATTAATGCCCAACATTGACAATGATTGACCACATATCAAAATATACAGTACATGTTTTGAAACAGAGGGCGTAGCGGAGTACTGAGAGAGAAAATCACTCTTCACAAGCAATACCAGGTCTAAGGTCAGCAAACAATATGGAATTATGCCATCAACAAAAAATAAAATAAAAAAATACATGGGGTGATGATACAATTATCACTACAGAAGGATATAGAAGTACCTAGAACATTGACAACATAAACCTTCTCAGAAAGAAGCACCTTCATGTCACTTAAAAATCTTGTAAATACATTCCCTGATCTGTATGTTCAAAATTGAAGAAAATAATAATTAAAAAAAAAACAAATTGGATTAAATTGCGAGATAATTATATGAGTTTGAATCATTAGAAAAATACTCCATATCATTTTAAAAGATGGGGTGTGTAAGATTGTTATTATAAACCAGGACTTGCATTACAAATAAAAGTTATGAATAATTGACTATATTACTCTTGTATAAAGTATGTACTACGTAGTATTCAACATCAGATATTTTAGAGTCTATACTTCCATTACAAATAGTATTCAACATCTATTTATGAAAACGTTGCAGCTTTTGACTCTAATTTTAGAGTAAATCATAACCATTCATCTTTTCATGCAGTCCATCTGAAACCAGGAAGATATTAGCATCTCTTCTGCATCTAGCATCAAGAGTCGTTACTCTCATAACCCTCCTGTTACATGGTTGCTTTTATCTTATCAATTTAATAATGGCATTTCAATTCTACTGAGCAAGACATACTCAAGTCAAGTGCCAAACTATAATTCTAACCAGAGGAAGGTTTAAACTTACTTGGAAGCTTCACCCAAATCATCAATTTTCTCCTCACTGTCACCAGTAACTAAAATCTCTGAATCTGCAAGACAATGCACACCAACTCACTACATAGACTGAGGGGGGGGGGGGGGGGAATCTTTTGACCTTCACTTATTTTAACATATATAAATGCTCGAAAATATGGTATAACAAGTAACAAATAAAAGTATTTAAAGGGGCGTTAATTTTTGCAAACCTAGTGCATCAGGAGCAACTGTCTCGACAGAGGACGCCTTTTTGGATCCAGCAGGTGCAAATCCTGATAATCAAAGGAGAAAAGGAAGAAAATAAGTGAAAACAAGCAGCAGCATAAGCTTAAAAACTAGTGCACGGATAAATAACAAACCTTTCAACTGCAGTGGTTTCATAACAAATCCTAATATAACAAATGGAACCATCAAAATTGCCTCAAGCCAAAAAGCCCAACGCCACGCAAGATGGCTTCCAACCTAAAATATTGAAACAAGACAGTACGGTGTAAAAGCAATCAGCCCAATAAATTATCTTATATTAAGCACAAGCAGCACAGATAATGATATTAATTCATCTGGCGAAAGTGAAATTGATACAAACTGATACATGCTTTCACATATAGACTCATGATTAGATTGAACTGATTGCAAGTAAATTATATCTTTAACTGACTACTAATAATATGCTAAGGTGATTGCAGTCAAATATTGAATATGATCTTAGAAGTTATTTGTTGATAAATTGTAGTTTACACACATAATTAAAGTAATTGATTTGATTATGTTAGAAAAATTTATATTTGATATGTTATTTTGTTGCATGAGTTCCACTTTCTAAATTGCACTTTTCAAGCTAAAAAATAATACGAGTATTAATAAATTATGATTTAAAGTTGTTACTCCATCTGCCCCAAATAAAAGTATCATTTCACCTTAGTCTATTTTGTTTGGAAAAAAAAATCACTTTTAATCAATCAAACCCCACTTTCTTGATTTTTAAAAGTTAGCTCTAAGCATAATTATCTATGATAATTAATTTCAGCAAACGTACCAGGCCGCCAAAAATATAGCCAACTGCATATCCAACTGGTATACACATGTAAAAAAATCCAAGCCATGCTGTTCTCTGACATAACAAAATACAAAGTAATCAAATATGCAGTCTGATTGATCATGTTGCATGGTAAGGACAGAAACGATAGCCCTTTTATATGCCTGGGCAAGTGGGTAGAAGAACATTGGAATTGACAGCTTTGAACTCACAACATTTAAGAAGTTCCTTAGAGGTAAAACAAAAAAAGCTAAAAAAAACAACAGCCCATTTTATGTTCTATGAAGTCTGAACATAAAAGTTTGCAGCATGAGAGTGATAATGGAAGATAAAAGACTAGCCTTACACTTCATTCATGCTAATGCATGCATTTTCAGAATACAAAATACGAGATGCTATAATTTTAAGTTAAGGGGAGAAAGAGGGAAAACAAGTACCTGAGTATCAGGGGCATTATCATCGATGAAGGGGGCTGCAAGGCTGATAAATGACGCCTCGCCTACACCAACAAGCCTAAGAAAGAAAAAATCCTATGAGTTAGATAAAAAAGATATGCTGAACAATAAACAGAATCTGATTAGACTTACATCCGGGCAATGGAAATGGACCAGAAATCCCATGAGCACGCACAGCCAACAATAGCGATAGTCCAGACCAACAATCCAACTCCAATTAATCTAAATGGATTCATACTGCAAAGACAAGAGGAAAAAAAAAGGAACCATATACAATATCATCTGTCTCATCATACAGCTTTATGAACATCAACAGTACATAAATTTATCCTAGTACAGCTATCCATACTGACGAAGAAGCTAACTTGCAGATTTCTGTCCAATGGATTGCAGAAAAAGCAACATTGGGGTGGAAACCAATAGGTTGGGTGGCATTCGGGCAAGGTTAGTTGGGATTTGGTTCAGCCTCGGGCCCTAAAGGTCAAGGCATGGTGAGAAGGTAATAAGACAAAAAATGCAACATTTTTGACATACTATGAGCAATTGGGATTTATTATGTGTGTATGTGCCTGTGCATGCATGCGTGTGCTCGCTGTATGTGTGTTGGGGTCAGATTTTCTTTTGTTCAGTGAAGTCACATCTTCCAGCTCAAATTATAAAAGTGTATTCAAGGCATTATTATTTCTTTGCTAATGTAGAGGTAAGTGATCCAGCTTCTTCAATCAGTATAGATTCCAGAAGAGTCTTTGCAAGAAGGAAAAAAAAAAAGCACAATTCTGATAAGGAGTATAAGCAGAATGCAAAACTAATTAACTACCCACCTCTTTGCTAATGTAGCAAAAATAGGGGAAGCTAACAAGAGTCCAACCATGAAAGCTGATGATAGCACACCATCTTCAAAATTGCTTAAGTTGAATTCTCCCCTAGACACATTAGGCAAGACAACAAGATCAAATCATCAGGACACATAAAAAAACAAGGTCAGTATTGATGGCTTACAAAAATCCATTCACAAACAGGATATGCCCCAAAAGGGCACAACGAATAATTAAATACCAGCAAGAAGACAAATGTAGTCCATTTATGTCATTCCTAATCTAACATGTGAGAGACAATCATCAGACAGTAGGACTGAAATAATACTTGATTAGAAAAATGCCAAAATAGACACTGTTCTGTACCCCAGGATTCATGTGTGTACAAGCGCAGGCAGCTCAGCTAAACATGAATGTGTCCTGTCCCAAGTTCATATGTATACTCTTTTCCCATCAGTCAATTACACTATCAAGAACCAATGTGGAGTACAAGCAAGCTAATTGTTTATGCACCTATTCAGGCAGCAAAATAAGGCTCTAACAGACTTCCAAATACTACATTCAGAAGACTACTAGTACCAAATACCATCTACAAAATCATCTGGTTCCAATACTAAGCACCATAGTCCCCGACTTCGTTTCTCATAGGGGCAAAGAATCACAAGGACGTTTCAGCAAAAATGCGAAAAGAAATGTCAGAAGTAAATGTCAATGTTGACTTGTATAGTTGTATACCAATGACTGATCCACCAGTTAGCTAAATTAGAAAGAGAACTACTAACACTGCCTAACCATTTTATATATTCCAACATTGTCGAATCATAACAACAATGAGTCCTAATATCTCAACTCCGAAGCAATACTAAAACCTAGATGCAGTCATTGTATAGAGCTTACTGAATTCCACTGCCACCAGAGCATTTACCACCAGAACAAGTCTTGCGTTCGCCATTCACACCATTGCTAGCAATTGTTCCTCGATCCAAGTAATTTATCAAGTTAATCACACAAAATAATGCCAGTAACCTGCATAAAACACACAATGAGCTCACACATCGAAATTTGCAGCATACCCAATCATCAAAGACCAAAGAAGATAACACAATTCCAATTCTAGAGAAACATGCAATCACCTCAAACACTATAACCTAATTTTGATTTGCAGTTCGTGGTGATCGGACCTTCTACTCTACACCAATTCTACCCTAATTTCTCAAAGATTATTTTCTACTAACACCAAAGTTTCACCCAAAACCTCTCTAAAATCAACATTATGATCAACTAACAAAAACCTGACATAATACCACAAACCCATAAAATTAACACCTCAAACAAAACGAAAAAAAAAAAAAAAAAACCCCAATTACCTAAATCATAAATCTTCCTCATAATTTAAATCAAACACCCAAAAGATTGAAGAAAATTGCAAAATTTTACAACCCCAAAATCATAAACAATTATAAAGTCAAACACCCAAAATAAAGGAGATACCTTTTAGGTGTAAACCAAGAAGGCTGAAGAGCAGAATTTCTGACATCTGAAACCACCATCTTTTCTTCTTGAGTTTTTGGTTGTTCTACACCAGTAACAGCAACAACAACTGAAGAATTCTTTGAATCTTCTTCTGCTGGTTTTGTCTGTTCTTCTTCTCCCATCTAATAAGCCCACCCACCAAAATTAAATAAAAAAATAAATAAAAATAAAAACAAAAAAAAGTAAAAATTTTAATTGAATTTTTCTGGGTAATTGAATTGACTTCAGTGGTACTGAATTTCTGAATCACGCAATCTGATGTGAATGGTAGGTTGAAATAATCAGAAAAGGCAATTAAAAAAACAACCCCTCTTAATTTTTTGAGCAATTAATGCGAAAAAAGTAGAAAAAAAAAAAGGAAATTTTATCTCTTTACCTGTAATAGATCAAAGAATTTAATCACCCATCTCTGATATCGCTGTTTGTGATAATTTTACTTTATTTTTTTAACAGAAAAGTTGATTATTTTACGACCTTCTTTTGAAAAAACACAATTATCTTCTGGAAAACTATAGTAAATAAAATTGGAGGTGTGTAAAAAAAATAAAAATAAAAAAGAAGTTGAAATGATAACGTAGGATATTGCGGGAGTTGTGAAATGAATTTTGGATTCTTTACAGTTTTCTGAATCATACTCTAACCTCGTCTTTCGGGTTAATGATTGCTGTTTTTGTATTCACGTCATCACGTGTAACTTTAGTCACTCTTAAGTTTCACCCCTATCTTATTTTTCTCTAGTAAACGCGTTTATTATGCATGATTTTAAACAATATTCGCTATATTTGCAAAAACTCATATTAACTAACAAAATATAACGTATAAATCACAAAAGAAAGTTAAATTTATTATAGCTATCATATACTCTTTGTCATGTTTATAATCCTCCATCCAATTATCTCAATCTATGTACAATTGTAAAAATTACATTTAATTTTTGATTTTGGACCACTTAGATGTATAAATGAAACTTTAAATAAAATCGTGATTCGTCCCGTCAAAAAAAAAATTGGATTCATGACCAATTTAATAATCAATGTTACGCTTTTCACAAGGTTATTTTGTCGAATTCGAAGTAGGTGTTATAACAAACGAATGTAAATAATACGTGCATGTTGAGACGACTTGTTTAACAAATAAGCTAATTTAAAGGGAATTTGTCCGTAAAACTACCATATTTAAAAAATTTAAGCTTTTTTTCCCGTTATTTAAGGAAAATTGTTCTTTTATTCTTCTTAATCCAAATTTACTAGTCATTGGAGTAAGACTACTAGAACTTTTTATTATACTATTGGTGATCTAAAATTTTGCTACTTTCCCAGTCATATTAATTACAGTATTAAAAAGGCTAAATTCTTAGGGTAAAAAGAGCAACTATATTGAAATTTGAAAAGACATTAGCATGCACCGTGAAGTGGTTGCATAAATGCATGATTTAGGATTCTAGTGGAAGAAAAAGGCAAGGAATACATTATCAACATTATATTGGTATCATTTTTTGCAATGACAATTGACAACTGCAATACTATAGTGTAGAATCTAAGGAAAAAGGTCAACATTTCTTGGTAAAAATTTCATCCCACTTTTGATAGTGGTAGAATGCTTTTAACTGAATATAAAGTATTCCTTTTATACTCAATTTTAGGTACTACATTTATTAGGATAAAGAAGTAGGAGTAACTACTAATCAACTCTCAAGAATTGGCTCTTTTCTATAGTAGATATTCTCTTGATGTTCATTCATGCATTAGGGAGTAGGTTGGATTAGTAGGCAAGTTTTTTGGGGGAACAAATGGAGTGAAAGTAGGTGGAAATGAGATAAACCATATGTGCAGAACCACACACGAAGACACAATAGTAAATTTGTCGTTTTGGTTGCACCTATCTACGGAGTATATGTAAATTTGTATGGTTTGCTAGTTCGTCTTTCACTTTTTATTCGGTTATGCCTTGTAGATGGTAGGAAGCACCCACGGCTTTCAATTGGTGTAACAATCGATTTTCACCCAATTTTAATTTTGTTAAGCCATGCATTTTTCATTATACTTGGCTATAACATGAAGGGCCTTTGTCAGTTTACCCTCATCCACCTTTTTAACTTTCCTAAACAAAGTGTTAAGGCAAACATAAAGACAAATTTCAAAAGATTTTCGCTATTTACATCAAAATAATATTATGATTGTATTTTGTCCTACATTGATCACAAGAATAAAATCACCATGAAAAATACATTCTGGTGATGAAACTCTACAAGTGTATAAGAATAATAACCGAAGCACATTAATCACAAAACAATACATCATGTACAAAAAATTTCTGATTTTTCATATCCTGTCATTTGGGGACTTGAGGGAAAGAGTATCACTCTCGTCAATGTCTTCAGCTTTACCGGCTGAATTGTTCTCACTGCCCATTTTCAAATAAGACACGCCACCATTCTCAACATCCTCAACATCATCTTCACTCAGCTGAACTGAATCCGAGAAGCTATCATCAGTATCAGCAGCTCCCGTTGATTTTGGAGTGATCAAATCTGTAACTCGAACCTTTTGAGACAAGAAAAATAGAATTGGTTGAGGATTTGATTTCAACAGAAAATAAAGGAGGAAAATTGTTGTAATGGACAGAATTGTGCAGAACTAATTTAAAACTCGGTTGACAAATTACCTGCACAGGCTGCATTACATTGCATTCTTGATCTTTAGTTTTGTTCACAGTGTCTTGAGCATTAATCTCCATGGAATTTCGGACAAGCTGACTCAGGAAATCTACATCATCAGACATTACACCGAATCCTTTAAGAAGCTTGGAGCCGAGCTGTAAACTTGTCTGTTCACAGAAAGACAATTAACAAGTCTGATGTTACCCTCTAGCGGAGCAAAACAAGTTAGACAGATTGATAGCCATATTACACAGATGTTTACCTCTGCATTCTCAATTATTGCCTCAGTTGCACCTGATTTTTTCAAATCCAACAGATGCTGAAGATCTTGGGCTCTAGCATATATTGGGACCTGTTCTGTACAAACTTTGTCAGGTCAAGGATAAATAACTGACTCTCTATCCATCGCATTTAACAAGAAAGATGAACTTATCGAAAGAGTCCACTAAATATCACATTGACAACGTTATGTCAGGGGAAAAACTTAGCCATTTGCACATCATTTGGATGTAGAAGATAATCTTACAAGTGATATCATTTTTTTGCCAGGAAAATGACTGAGTAATTACCGATGGAAATGTGAGTCGAATGCTTTCAACTGCATTGATTGCCTTGTTCTTATCCGGATACATGACTAAAACAGCTTTAGGAGAAGATATGCCGGCGGACTGCAAAACTGTCGGTCTAGATCCATCGCCATATAGGACTGGAAACCCAAGCTTCTTTGCTGACTGTTAAAAAGAAGAGAAAATCCATCTTACAAGTGATCTCTGGTGGGGAGGAACTCATCGGTCATCATTCTTCCCCTTATTATTGCATAATTTTTATAAAAATCAGAACCAACCTCGACAACATTAGGATTAAGATCAAAAGCAACATATGGCCAACCCGCAGCTTCACCATCTGCACCCGATGCCAATGGTGCTGACAAAAAGTTTGCAAGGACCTGAAGTTGCAGTCACATAGCAATCAGAATGCTAATTGCATTGCTATAACTTGCAAACTTCTAAATGATATGGTGGAACTTTACCTGACCCATTTGTCCAAATCCAAGAATAACCACTGGTTCACTAACGTCATAGTTCAAGCCCTCTGCAGCTATCTGTTTAAAAAATATTAAAAAATAGTGATGCTCTATTGTGGCGAGAGGCAGTTTTAAAAGCAAGACTGTTTTAAGTTTGATCCATTCTCTCTTCTATCTGACTCTCTCGGTAATACCAACTTATATCAAACTAACAAATACTTACAATGTCCGCTTCAAATTTTTCAGCAACAAAATCAGCAGCTTGCCGTCCAAGTTCATTTAGAAAAGGCGTCAATGACATTGACAGCACAACAACAATTATGAGAAGTTTGTTGAGCTCAAGAGGTAAAACTCCCAGCCTGATTACATGAAGTCTCATCAGAAAATAAAATAAAATATAAAAATAAGTAAAATATAAATGTAAAGCTGGAAAAGCCATTACAGTAAGTTGCAGTATATGCATAACTTGCCTATTTGCAAGAGAGAAAACCACAAATGCAAATTCACCTCCTTGGGACAAAAGGAATCCTATTCTTACGCTTTCTCGTAAGGTTAGTCCAACCCGGGGACCTAGGAATGTTATTATCGTAGTCTTAATAGCAATCAGGCCACCCAAGAGCGCGAGAACATTTGGCCATTCTCGGGAAAGAAGCTGCAGAGCAAGATGGTGACATAAAATCAACATACTATTCAAGACCACTAGAACTTTTTGTAAGACAAAAAGACCGAAACCTACTCCGTACTATTCAAGACCACTAGGACTTGATGAGTACCTGCATATCAATAGAAGTTCCTGTGGTGACAAAGAACAACCCTAGAAGTAAACCCCGAAATGGCCTTATATCAGCTTCAATTTGTGTCCTGAAATTTGTTTCTGCCAGTATGGCACCAGCCAAAAAAGCTCCGAGCTGATGAGTTTCAAAAGCAAGCAACAAAGATAAATAAATAATTGTGAGTCAAACAATAATATAATCGATGATTCAACAATTCCCATGATAAACAAAAATGCATCAGAACCGTGTCACTGAAGCCAAGCTTTTGCGTAACAAGTGAGGTCCCAGCAACTGTAAGTAAGCAAAGAGCAATGAAAGCCTCTGAGCTCCTTGTTTCTGCAACGACCTAATAATATGTCAACTTTTAAATTGAAGTACATAACACAAGTACTTAAGGTGCGTAGATAAACTATTTCAAATCTACCTCAAAGATTCGCCTCAGGATCAATTTCCCTCCAAGAGAGAGCAACCCAAGCCCAAGTAAAGCTTTCAGACTTTCATTGACAAGCATTGGCCATATGCTTTGCTCTAAATTCTTCAGAGAAACAACAATGTGTTACAAATGATCTAAGTTTGGCAGTAATAAACTTAATGTAAAGAACAGACTCATATAATACTTGTTGTAAAGTTAGAGCTCATCCAAAGCATGAGAAAGGGGACAGAAGAACAGAAAAGAACAAAAAAAGATGAACAAACACCAGCATGAAAGGCTTTCCTCCATAACTTCAACTACAGGAAGAGACTATAGAAACAGTGCCACACTCACCCATCCCATCTCACCCCATGCTCTTCCAACCAAAAGAATGTTATAGGTTTTAAATACACACAAGACTGCTCTGCCAGATACCCATCAAACACATCGGACGGCATATGCTTTCTTCTCAGATACATGAATAAAGAGGCTCCCCCAATGGCCTCGCAATTTTTAATGATAATTTCTGTTTGTGTGTGTGTGTTGGAGGGGGGATTCGGTAATAATTAAGAGTATAATATACCTGGCCTTCTAACACTGGGAGTATCACCAAGAGAGGGACGACTGCTATATCCTGCGTAAGGTCACAAATTCATGAAACAGGGTTACTTAAATTCTGCTTTCATGAAATACCACTCATTATCCACAAGAAATTGAGAAGATTACAGGCTGTTGCTATTAAAAATCTCATAACAAGTAATTACATTAAACTCAATCTATAAGAGGATCAGTAACATGGTCATATCAGTATTAACCTGTAGCAGCAGAATGCCCAAAGTAGCCGAGCCAAACCTTGTTGGAAGCTCACCCTTCTCAGCAAGAAGCTAACAAACAAGTATATGATGTAAGTCAGGACTTCATAGAAATATATACTTGGTAAATGAATAGGAGCAAACAAACATCAATCTATTGGAGGTGAATGGATGCAGATTTGAGTTCCATAACACCAAAATACACGAAGGATTAGTAACAGAGACTATGTAAGCAAGTGAACTTTGGAAAGTTCAGACTCCATAGTTGTAATAGAGAGTAAAAGAGGATAAAACGGCAGTGACTTATAATAATATAAAGAATGATATTGTAATACACTAATACTTAACTAGAAGAGACTAACAGTATACAGTCTATAAACTATTGCCTACATTATAAAACTAAATTTGACTACATAAAATCATGTTTATTGCATGGACCAAAGCTAGTTATAAGTTGAAAGGAATAATAGCTAAGGAATTATCCAGCTACACCCAAGATAGTACTCCGTAGTAGAGTTTAGTTGCCAACCTGTAAAACAAAGGCAGAGGATGACAACGATAGGGCAGCACCTATGACTATGGCCTCATCAATACTCCTGATGTTAACCTGTAATTGACTCAAAGAACACAGAAATAACTTCAGCAACATGAATAAAAGGTATACAAAGTAAACCAATGGAAAGCTTAAAATTATGTACCAAATCGGGCCGTGAATTAAACAAAAACATCAAAAGTCTTGTCCCGATTGCCTCATTTGGAGGAAGCTCAAATGCTGTGAACGCAAGTGTGGACAACAGAACCTAAAAGAAATGCAAAGAACAAAACAAGGAGTAAGAATAAAAACATAATATTGGCATGCTGAGAGGTATCATACACACGAATAAGAGGATTCTATACAACCCCTTAATTAAAAACAAAATGGCCCTCTGTTGACTAATGGATGACACAAACACACAATAAAATAAACCAATGACAACGAATAAAGGCTGTTAAAGGAGCAAAATAACAGATCCACTTATGAGTTATGAAAATGGCACTAGCTTAACACAAAGTGTACCTGAGGCAATCCAATACCAAAAGCAAATATCGCAAGAGCCTTCAATCGTGCAAGTGAAAGCTCCAAACCCATCTCAAAAAGCTGACATAAGAAAATGATAATGAAACATATAAGGGCCATATGCAAATTTTGAAATAACACATACTAGTGTAATCTAGGGAAAGCAGTATACCAATAGCATGCTTCTTTTGAGGCTAAAGAAGAGATTTGAAGAAACATCTATCTATCACAAGGGCTATAAGCAGAAAAAATAAACCTTACCAGGAAAAGGATACCCCACTCTGAGAGAACCTTAACATCAGTAAGATTTCTAATGAGGCCAAATTGATTTAAAATAACGCCAGCAAAAAAGAATCCAAGTATCTGCATTTAGAAAGCAAGACTTAAGCATTTTAGAAACAGAATTTAGCAAATTGACAGGGGCACAAGTAAAAGAAACAGCTCTAGCAGATTTTCTACATATTTACAAGTCATGCTGACCAAAAGCCACATCTAAATGCTTCAGATATACATGATAATTGCAATCTCTATAAAAAATAAATAAATAAATAAATAAATAAAAATGGCACAAAGTTGCAGATCTTGAATGAGAGGGAAAAAACCAGTGAGGTTAAGTTAACTTGGCATCTTTGGTGTTTACTGAAATAGGATTGCCATAAAAAAATTGAGATAGAGCTAAGCCTATGCGGAATAACTCTCAGCATTCAGAGAGACTTTGAAGATGAAATTGGACACGTGGTCAATTTGACAACAGTGCCAAAGCACTGATGTCAGCTGCATTAATCTAGAATCCATCTCCTGTGGCATTTTACTTCAAAAGCAAAACATATTCTGTACCAGCAAAACATCTATATGCTGGTACTTTCCCTTTCTAAAGAGCCTATAAACAAAGTACGACTTTTTTGATAGCATGCCACATAAATTTGTATGAAACAATAACAGACACATCAAACATCAAAGTTACGGAATGAGAAGGTATAAAATGCCTTACAGGGCTAGCCCTTATAGTTCTGAATACAGGGACAATAACGACAGTAACCACCAAGAATGTCAAGGTATCCAACCCTAAGTCATTAATGACATCAACAGCACTGGCTACATCAACTCCAACATGCAACTGAAATCTTTTGCTGTCATCTGTTCTAGAGCCTGAAAAGAATAATTTTCTATGACTAAAATTTGCTGGAACTGATGTTGACAATTTCTCCCATCCAGTTCTCGTAACATAACTTTCTTGTAACCTTGGATAGCTGCTGTATGAGGGCCGATGGAATAGACGATCCCTGGAAGATAATAACTGAAAAGAATATCTACGAAAACTTGAATTTTCAGTAGAGGGGGTTTTATTGAAAATCTTCTTGTATGTGAATTCAGAACCCTGCAAGAATACCAGAAAATACAGTAGTCAGAAATACTGGTTTACATTCAAACACGGAATCATCTTGCAAGTGCGGTACATTATTATTATTCTGTTACACATCTATTATAGACCATCAAATTTCCAACAATACATGATTGTATAACCAAGACAGGCAGAAAGTTTAACCTCTTGTGTTCACTAACAGGATGTTTCATATCAATGGGGACAACTCTTTCTACATGTATAACATCCGCCCCATTAACGGATTATCAGGTCATCGAGCCTCTAGTTCAAAGGTATACCTCGGTTAATTGGGTGTCCAAAGCCAAGACAATAAGTGTCAAACCACATATCTTAGTCCCCATCATCTAATATCCTATAGCAACTATAATCTTTCTTCTAATATCTACATTTTAACATATTCAAAATCTTTAATTCCAACCCAAAATCCAGCTCTTCAAGTAAAGTTCATCCCTTTAGATAGTCCAAAGAGGGTTCCACTATCCAAAATTGGCCAAGTACAAGCAGAAGTTCCATAAAAAGATACAGTAACTTGCTTCATTAAACCAAATTCAACATGCAATGTTCTAATTTTCCCAGAATAATTGAAGTAAAATCCACAAATAACTATAGCAAATGAGGTCTTAGCTTAGTACAAGTAGTAAACATACCTTTATATGTCACATATAGACCAAATTACAATATGTAATAGCATAATTAAAGATATTAATGATCAAAATTTACATACGGGTATAAAATAAATATTGCGACTATTTAGAAACGGAGGAAATATCATCATTAGAACCCATATTATCATATACTGAACTCAATTCTCAAACCCAATTCAACCCAAAATAAATAAAGACAAAAACTTGTGAATAAGAGTGAAACAAATAATACCTTGAAGCAATGAGAAAAGACCATAGAATCCGCCATAATTAACAAAAATAATGAGCATAAACCATAAATGCAATATGATTAACTCATATTCTTAATAGTTAGCAGTAAATTAGTAAGAGATTAGAAGTAATAAGCAACTGTAATTTGTGAATATTTTTGTGGGGGTGTAAGGAGGAGAGAGAAAGTGTGTATGGAGAATCCACGGTGGGCAGAATTGCCCAGAAATTATGTGGAGAAGCGTACATTTTCATTTTCAACCAAAGATTGGATTTTGTTTTCCTTGAATTATTTGCCTACGTGGCTCTGTTCACAACTTGTTATCCTTTTAGATGCTGATAATTCTTCATCAAACAAAGTTTAAAATTCTTCTCCATATGCCTAAGAATTGACCAATCATGTGAGACTACTTACGTTACGGTTATGGTTTGTTCGGCAAAATTAGTTGTTTTAGTAACAATTTGTTGTGAATATAGTTGCTAACTTATTGGTGTTGATAAACTTAAAAGTTTTTCTCTTTTACCTATAAGGATTTTATTAGAACATAAATTTAAGTTTCTAAAGTAAGATGGCAGAACGTCATAAATTTAAACCCAATTGTTACTCAATTGAATATAATATTGCAAAATTACCAAAGATTGAATAGAAATATTTATGAAAGTTAAAAAGATAGATGATTTTTGCACAAGTTTCTTGTAAACAACAAAAGAAGATGATATATTGTATGAAAGTTCATGATTTGTTAGTAAAAGTGGATAAAATTTACAACCTCGTACATGGTTTTTCTTCATAGATTTACATTACCACTCATGACTCACCTCCTCTTACATAGTTACATGGTAATGAAAATTTACCAAGAAATTTGGTAAGCAATTATAAAATATCGGGAATAATAATGAATTCATGTGTAATCACTAAATTTGTAATGAAAATCTACATTCATCATCATGGTAATGAAACTCCATCCCAAACATGGGGTTTTCTTCATAGATTTACATAACCACTCACGACTCACCCACCTATATATGGTAATGAAAATTTATGAAGAAATGAGGTAATGGGGAATGGATCCACGGTATCAAAGATAATGGCATGAGAATTTTAATACATCATATAAATTCGTTGTCATTCCCATGATTTAAGAACGCTCACTTAATACTCAAATTAAGGACATTAACCAGTCAGGTGAAGTTGAGAAATCACAATATACAGTGTCAGCCAGCTTTCTCAACACAAAGAAACATGATGAAATCATAGCAGAACAAGGAAAGAGTATAATTGTTCAAGACTTTATTTAAGGACTCCAGAAACTACATTTCCTAAACACCAGATATCAGAGCTTATATAATCAGCAGTACTAACAATCTCTCACACAGAAGAATCAGAATTTGCTGGAGCAAACTTCAAAGAGACGCTGTTGACACAGTGGCGCTCATCTGTGGGAGTCGGGAATCTTTCACCTTTAAAGACATGACCAAGATGTCCACCACATGCTGCACAAGTAATCTCAACCCTCCTACCATCGAGATCAGGCTGCAAATCATGACAAATATTTCAACTCATGGCTTTTAAATACAAGTTGGAAAGATTTGCAATTCTCATGTTGTGGTTGCAAACAACTAATCCATGGTGAAGATACTTACAGTACGATTTATGGCTCCAGGAAGTCCCTCATAGAAAGCTGGCCAACCACAACCAGAGTCGAATTTGGTTGTTGATCTGTATAGAGGAGTTTCACATCCTGCACACTTGTAGATTCCTTCCTCATTAAATTTGTTGTATTCTCCTGTTCCTGGGAGTCTGCAGCAAAGACGACCATAATAAAGATGCTAAACAAATAACATGGTATGTAAGAGTTTTTTTTTTTTTTTTTTTTGAAATTATGCAACAGAATTGGTCAGCATAAGAGCTAGAAGTCTGGAAGATAAGTTAAAATTGTTTTTTAATTATATCTTCAGTTCAAGATTGTACAGGAGATAACTCAACCTCTTCTATTAGAACAATCCAACTATGCTGCCTGAACAGGGAACAAAAAAACCTTGGGGAACTTAACTTTAGCAGGACATACTTGGACTTTGGAGTTAATTTTGTTATGTCAGGTGGTGCATCATGACTAAGTGTGTTAAAGGTAGACCTGACTGACAGGTATGTTCTGATTTGCTTTTGAAACGAATTCCCAAGGATGACCTCAAACGCTATAATCAGTTTTAGTATTCTGTCCGATTAGCTCAATTATACCCAGAACATCTGCTTAGAATTTCTAACAGAAGCTTGTAGCTTCTTTTAATATAAAATATACATAGAAATCTTGGACTAGCATGAATTTCAAGAAAATATGACCAAAACAAGATGGGGAGAGAGTAAATACAACAGTCTACAAAGGACCATGACAATTCTGAAGCAGACAGCAGAATAGAGCATTTCATATTTCTACAACTAACCACACTGACATAGATTCTCTTTCACATCCATATTTTATATCAACATACCAATTTAGGGCATAAACTTGCAAAGTTCCACAAAGATACATATTGGTCTCAAACATGGCTGATTTGAGGATCGAAACTCATTTTCATTAATTTGAATTTTTCTGGAAGGGCATTAAATGGAAAATTATTGAAAGACAGAAACTTATTTGAGGGCCATATCTAGTATCAGCAATAACATTGTGCCATTGTATGTCTATTAATTCCAGGATGGACTCTTTGGTTGGATTTGTTTCACACACCAAAAATGTGACAAATCATCCCAAATAGTAAAAAGAGTATGGGTACTCACAGAGTCACAGGTGATGGGTACTCACAGAGTCACAGGTGATGGGTACTCACAGATACAGCGAGTATGGGTACTCACAGGTGATGGTGTGAACACGTTCTTAATTTTTAGGCTACGTACTGTAGATGCTGTCTTGTAACTTATACCCAAGGGGTAAAAAGGGCACATACACATCTGTGGCAAATAGGCGTATGGAGGATCATCTCTTGCAACTACTGTCACATTGGTATACTTATGGCTTATGAGTGATCGGCATCTTAGCATTCTAGCAATAGAACTTGGACTCGAATGCATGGGCAGTTAGCAGTGCAGGGCCTAGAAGCACAAAGATAAGCTTTGCAATTTGAACTAAAGACAAGCTTCATAGGCACGGCATGAACTAGTTACCACCCTGGCACGCTCACATAGTCACATTGGTTAAGTGTATAGGAGGAGCACATTGCCAAGGTCAGGACCGCCTAATCACACCAAGCTCAAAGAGTTGTTACAACTTACAATCCACTACTACCAATGCTTCTTTCACCCCTCACACTGAACTGACTGAAGGGTTTTCCAGCTTAATCAAATTCACTACTCCAATTTGAACGTGACCAATTCATTACTCTAAACTTCGAGAAAGATCCATTTGGTTTATTCAATATTTGCAATCACTCAATCAGGTTCAAGTCATTTAATCCATAACATAAAAAGTGAATAAAATTACAAAAGGCACCAACAACACAAATTCCGTCGTAATTTCACTCATAAGTCATCATTAATTACAACTAATTATGACTTCTTCAACCATTTCAACCAATTCTCATAAAAGTCAGCATGATCTTTGCCTAAAAGTGACAATATTCAAATTCTTAATAATTCAATACCCATATTTCTTGGTATAATTCATCACCTAAATGCTAATACATTAATTATAAACAATTAATAACAAAATAACGAAATAAAAAAGAATATAAAAATAGAATAAGAACGAAAAATAAGAGGGAGAATAGCATACTCAGTTCCTTTCTGCCTGAGAATACGAAACCGCTCAGGAGAGAGAATAGCACGCCATTCCTCCTCTGGTTTTTGAACTGAACCAGGAGCTGCCGCCATTGTTAAAAACCTCAAGCTTTTTTGTTGCAAATTCCCAGAAAACCCAGTTGAAAAAATGGCGTGATATTTAGGTTTTGATACCAAAGATCTAAACTTTGATGTATTTAAGCAAATGGGTATAGAATAATTAGTGGGGTAATTAAGGTAAGAAGAATAATTTTTAGATGGAAATTTGGGATTCAGTATTTTAGTGGTGGCGGTTGTTATGGATGAAGAAGAGAAATGTGAGGTTGTTCTGATAATATTCAACCCCATTTTCTTAGACTTTTCCAAACTAAGATAATTATTTTATGGGATAATAAATATTAAAAATTTATACTTTTCCATATTTTGTACTACTATAGTAATGAGGTTTCCAAGATCTTTGGGTTGGGCTATAACCTCACATCATTGCATTGAATTTGTACCAACATCCATGCTAAATACATTTGAGGCCATTTTGCTATCCACTATTCCGTACAACACAATTTTGTTGGACCCTTCGAGAAATCTAATCCAATTCAAAATATGGAAGCTATGTATCCCTTGAGATTGCACTTAAGCATAAAGCATTGAATACACCAAGGGCATGTTCTCATACGTTGAAATTCAGTTCAGTTTAGTTCAGTTCAGTTCAGTTCCTAATTTCCTTCTCTTATAAAATATTCATTTCAGTTCAGCTGAGTTCAGTTCAATTCAATTCAGTTGGGTTCAGTCAATGAGAATAGGCCCCAAGCAAAATTTGGTGGAGTTGGTGGAAAACTCACCTTGTAACTTTGAGGTCACAAGTTTCGAGCCCCACTAACTACAAAATGCTTAGGAATAAGGCGATTTTCTTACCTCCCCCCTCTACTCTCAAGCTGTGAAAGGTGTCAATTCAATAAAGTTCTTCATCTTACCTTAAAAAAAACATCCCTGACTCTCGTGTACCTATATCAATATCCTTTTACAAACTAATTGTTCAAAGCAATTTACTTGTATATAATACTATGACTATATAAGTCTAGATATAATTAGGGATGACAGTGGGTCGGGTTAAATGGGAGACCCTCCCCATCCCCACCCAAGTGGGCGGGGATGGAGGGAGGTTTGGCAGTTGATGGGGCGGGGATGGGTATAAAATGTGTACCCGTCATGGGTGATGGGGCGGGTATGGATTTTAAAGTAGACCCGCCCCATATTCACTCCGCCCCGTACCCACCTTATACCCGCACCATATTTCTTTTAGAAGAGTTGAGAATTTATGAAACTTGATACCCCCTAAGACCCAATAAGCTTGAATAGTGAAAGTTCTAATTTTCTTAACCTAATTTGATATAATCGTCATTAATATGATACAATAAAGCATCATGGCAAAGGGTTGTTTGGGACGATTCTGCGGCGGGTATGAGGTCAGTATGAATATCCAAGTGGGGTGATGGGGCGGGGATGAATCATATCTTGTACCCGGTGGGGCGGGTATGGATGTGGATATTGTACCCGCCACGGGTGGTGGGGTGGAGATGGGTAAAAGATTTTTAGGCGGATATGGGTAATTGGGTATGGAGGTACCATCATCCGCATCCGATCCGCCCCATTGCCATCCCTAAATATAATATAATCCTTTTTTTAATACGCTTGTTTACTTTCTATTTATATAATTAAGCTCTTCTTTCCCAAAAAAAAAAAAATTAAGCTCTTCTTCTTGTGTTACTTTTTAAACTACGAACTATAAACAACCAAATAAAGCTTCTATATGACCCAACAACAACATTAATTCCATAAATTCAACCAAGGTAAAGTTTTTCACTTTCCAAACAAACATTATTTTTTACCCATTCAATTAATAATATGCAAAATTAAAATTTATGTTTCTAACTATTACAAATTTTGTTCATTTAAAACCAAATGATCTAAGCAAATGAAATTTACAACCGATTATATCGTTCATGAGTTGTTTTTGTGATACATTAGTGATGAAAGTTGTAACCAGTTAGAAATCAAACAACTAACTATAGACATAAATTAGTGGTTGGATCAAAGCATCTTTTTTAATATTGATGTTAGTTGGCATTGCTTAAATACTGCAAGAAATCAGACACGCTTCCTATTATACACATTAAAATTGTCTCATATTTTTTTATTCACATTTTAAAAAATTGATTAATTTAAAATTATTAGTAAAGAGTGAGTACTAGCTAGATAGGCATATAATAATGATATAAATGAGGAATATTTACAGAATATTTACAAGAAAGTCAAAAGGAGAATAAAATTATCGAGCTTTTAAGTTTTAACAACACGATAAACAAGCTAAGAATAAAATCATGTACATCCTTAGTAATTAATACTGTAGTAACCAACCACCCCATTCCTTCCGGTCCGAACACAAGGCATCAAGGTAGTAACGTAGTACAATATTAACTCTATGTACACTTCTTTTGTGGAGAAAATTGTCACATCACGTCTATAAACTAATAGTACTCATATATCTAAACCAATACATCGTATACATATGTATTTATATATTGTAGGTATACATAAATTATTGTACATCGAATTATGTCTTTATACCAACAACATAATTCATGTATGTAGCTAGCTTATTAGCGAGTAGAAGGCGGCGCTACTATACCAATCTTCTTAGGCTTTAAGCACAAGAAGTTTGGAGAATACCATCTAAACAAATTGAAGGTTGAAATGCCCGAAATAGCAGCTAGTAAGATCGATGCAACACCACCACAAGCTATGGATCCACCAATTTGAACGCAAAACCTTACATATTTGCTACATAGTTTCATCCATTCAAGATCATGGGACCCAAATAGCGCGAGGAATGCTATTTGGGTCGAGGCACACATTATAGCAAAAACAACGTACGCTACCACCTTCACAACGATAAGAAAGAAAATTAAATTAGTATCAAATGTGATTAGTTAAAATATAATTATCGAACGTGTTTAATTAGTTGAAACTAGCTTAGGTTAGATAAACTACTTCAAACTTTTAATGAGAATAGTATAATAATACGGTTGTTACATTTATTATTAGCTATGTTATGTTAAATGTAATTATATTATATGAGTTGGAGCACTTTATATTATTTGGATGTAATACATTGAATTCATCATTGTGTATACTCAAAGGGTGATTGACAAAATTAAAGGGCTCAAACCATAATCTTAACCCTTATTTAATTTACTTACATCTTTACAAGCTTATGTCTATTTTTAGGTAAGTGTGTGCCCCACAATTTTATTTTATTTTAGGAGATAACTCTTTTTTTTCCTTTTTTTTTTTTTTTTTTTTTTTGGATGTGTGAAGGGTGTCTCGGTCACTAGTCGTTATGAAGGGTGTCTCAGTCGTCAATAGTCGTTGTGAAGGGTGTCTCAGTCGTCACTAATCGTAGTCACTAGAAAAGAAATTAACTCCAATTGAGCAAGAATTTTCGGCCTTGGCCTTTTAAGGTTATACCAGCCATGAAATATGAATGAAATACTTTTTTTTTTTTTAAAAAAAAACAAATTCAAAGGATATATCCTACATAATCTATAGTTAATGGCTTTATTGGAACAGTTTTCAAACAATCTTGATGAATTCTAAAAATAGTTTCCATTAAAAAAAATATACTACATAATGTATTATATTTGAATGTAACCCTTAGAACTCAAGGATACAGAGGTACGATCCTATAGAACAGATCCTGTTCAAGTAAGGTCGTATTTTAATGTAACCCATGATTATTTATTTTATTATAGAGTATTATTTTGTTTAGTATTTTTTTTTTTGGTCATTTTATAATCAAGCGAAATTTGGAAAATTAGATATTATTGGTGGCTAAAGCTGAGAAAATATACTTATAATTTGCTTTAAAAAAACATGATTACTTGAAAGCTGATGAAATAAAAACATGAAAAGATAATCAATATACTAGTTATGCAAATAAAATCTGCGCACAAGCTAGCCGATAACAAAACACATAATACTTCGAATAAGATACATTTAATATCATAATATATGATCATATTATTCAATATCATAATATATTATCATATTATTCATAAGAACGAAGTAGCTTAATAAACTAAAAGTAATCTTCTTTAACAAAGTAAAAATATGAATCATAAGAATTTGTGTAAATAATAAAAGTTATTGCAACATACCTGATCAAGCAAGAAATAAGACCATTTTAGGACATGGTTGGACAAGCTTAGTTTATCTCCCGCATTATTATCAGTGAAGGCCAAGCATCGAACTAGTTGAAGTAAATTGTACCCGGCGCCAATGAAATAAGTGTACAACGATACTCTAACATATCAAAAAATTCCATCATTCAAACAATGTACGGTCACAACAATATATACTATCTCCGGTCCAAATTACTCGCAACTTTGAAATATTTTATATCTCACAAATAATATCCCAAAGTTGCGAGTCTCAAACTCTGACAGTAAGTCCTATCTCGAAAAACATGTACAGAGTCTACAGACATCTTATAATAATAACTTATGGTACGATATTGAAGAGGACAATTGAAAAAAGGTTTAAACAACGAAAACTTACTTTAAAATAACAGTCAATTTGTAGCTGACTTTCATTTTTAACACACCAAAGTATACCTTGGTTTGGACGTCTGTAATCATAATTATGGCAGCCATTAAAAGTGTTGACAAAGCAAATAATCTCAAAATTGCTTCAACTTTCATCATTCGATTGATTTGTATGAACTCCATGTTTTTTTTTTAAAACATAAACTCAATCACTCTACTAGTAGAATAATTTTTCGAGAGAAATATAAGAAAGTGACCCTTTTTTTTTGTTATTGTTGATTATGAATTGAATAGTTGAATTTATAAGGTTTTATATTTAAGGGGCTAGGGCAAGTAGCCAAGTTAGCTAGAGTATAAGTGTGATAGTTGAGGCTGCAAACGGTCCACGATTAATATATTCATCGATGCATTTATGTTATTATGTACTATTAATGTCGTACCACTGCACACCATGATCTCTACAATCGGCAATCCCCCACTTTGGTACTCGTATAATCGAATTATTTAACGTCCGTTTGTTAAATTAGACGTGGATATATATGGGAAGTTGACACTTACGAAAATGAAATTATGAGAAGTTGATCAGGCGGCCAAAATATAAAAAATTTATAAGATAAAGATATTGTATATTTAAATCTCTAGGTAGGTGAAACTTTCTATGAAATGTTGAATTTTTTATGGATAACAATTACATAGGTCATCTAAAAAAAAATTAATTCTTTCATACAATTATACAAAGTGACGCTGTGACAGAAGCCACTTCTCAAAATTTGAGCATATACTATACAGTATTATATTTCAAAAAAAAAAAAAAAAAAAAAAAGAGTGGGCATTATCAAATCGCCATATACTGTACTAAATGTCATTATTAAATTTAATCATGTGTTTACAATAAATTGTCTTTTTCCTTGATTAATTAAATCGCCATATAAGTTTACAAAAAATTAAATTAGCTAAATAGACTTGTTTTAGCTAGCTTTCTTTCTATTTCACGTTATTTGTTTGATAAACAAACGTGTACTAAATTTAATCATTCGTTATAATTAAGTTAGATGATATCCAAGTTGAACTAGTTTATATTGCGTGTAGCTAGTACACATGTACGATATCACATCTCTACCAAATAAAACGTCGCTGGACCAATTGAATTAAATTTGAAAATGGTACATGATTATCTTATGATGCCGGTAATTTTGATATGTAACTTTAAGTGGAAAAATAGAAGTTGATCGAGTCAAAAAAAAACACGTAGTAAGAGTAGTAGTAGCATTAAAATCCGCTTAGTTGGAAGCAATACGTCACATCTTATAATCAAGTTTGATGTAAATAGATCACCCAAATTTTCGATGACATAAATTAAGTATATATGCCCTTCCAACCATATAGTATAGCTAGAATTTTTTTATTTTATAAAAATATGAAAAATTATTCAAGTGCCCAAATTGCACCTTAGCCCATACCTATGTTAGGCTGGCCATGTACATTTCCTCACGTTCCCATATTCTGTAGCCCTTGATCCTTTACTATATACCGACACACAATAGAGTTATGTAGTCGATAATAAAAACTGATTTAATTGGTCAAAGTATTTAAAGATTGTATTCAAATTTATACCACTGACCAATAATCACTAAAATGCCAAAAGACTTATATTTGACGTGGTTTACCAATATAAGGTAACCTATTAATCTATTATACCATATGCATGCTATAATTATAATTTATGTACACGTATATGCATTATTATTTAAAAAAGTAATGTTATTGTTATTATGTTGGAACCATGGCTTGCTTTGCTTTTTAATGAGAAATGTGACCATTGTGGTCAATTACAAAAGGCATACAATATATACAATCATAAATTAATCATGGAAAAAGACAATTTAAAGCATCAAAATATTCATAAAAATCTAATACAGTAGTATTTTCCTATATAAATAATTGATGTAATTTGCTCCAACCATCAACGATTTGATAATCACGACTTGACATCTCTCATTGCGACAATATAACCCTACATTAGCTACATACAACTAATATAATATTTATGATATTGGAATCCGATCTTCATCTTGATATTAATCTTCAATCATCCAACACAAAATAAAAATCTCTAAAAGAGGGATACAAAAAAAAAATATTTATTGAGCAATAAAATAATTAAATCACACTATTCAAAACAAAAAACATAATAATATATAAATTGCATACAAAAAAACGGGTACGATTGTTAAACGATGCCCTCATTTATCAGGTAACATCCATATTTAAATATGAATGGATAAACATATCCTCACGTGTATTCCATGTTTTACTTCCCTCTAACTCAATCTAACATTCTAAACCTCCCAACAAACTACCATCGACCACTACCGACCGAGAGTAAGGTCATCGAACTCATCACCGGAGTTTTAAGTCGTGTTTTTTTAAGAAAAAAATTTGGATGGAGGCCAAACACCTAATCTTTTCAAAATTCAATCAAGGGGAGAAATGCCTATAATTTTTGAAATTTCATAGGAGATTCGAAAATCCTAGGCATTCTCCCCTAGAATTTTCTAATTATTTTGCGTTTTTTTGTTTTTATTATAATTATTGATTCCAAACTTGGATTAAGACAAGTAATATATCATTGTAAAGATTTAAAAGTCTACTTTTCTAACTCAATTTGAATTGGGTCAATAATCAAACTTATACCACTAATCAATCTATATCTATCTATCTATATATATACTAAAATAACAACCGCTGATGTCATCATTGCTTACGTGTCACTTTTTTATTTAATTTTTTCCCTCCAAAATGGAAGGATGATGTCATTTTTTTTCCTTTTTAAGCTACACTATTTAACATAGCTTTGAAATATAAAATTTTAAAATTTGAGTATTCTACCCATATCATGCTATTTAGCTATTAACAAGTTATTAACACTTGTTAATAATATAATTTAATTGAAATTTCTTAATTAAAAATGAAAATTATGCACTTTTGGGAATTGCATATTCATATTTAATTAGAAATTAGTTAGGAAAAATGAAAAAGTTATTTTCTTTTAGTACGTGTTGCTAAAAGTCTATAATTCAATTTTTATTTTAAAACCGTGCATTTAAATTTAATGTGGCTTACCATAAGCTAAGCTAGGTAACCTATATATGCATGCTAATTATAGTTTATACATGCATTATTTTTTAAAAAAGTAATGTTGTTAATTGTTATTATGTTGGAACCATCGAATTTCTTTGCTTTTTAACGAGAAATGTGAATATTGTGTTTAATTTAAAAAAAGGCATATAACATCTACAATAGTAAACTAATCATGGAAAAGACAACTTAAAGCACCAAAATAAATATTCATCAAATCTAATAGAAGTTTTTTTTATATATATAAATAATTGATGTAATTATGCTCCAACCATCAACGATTTGATAATCAACGACTTGATATCTCTCACGACAATATAACCCTACATTAGCTACATACAACTAATTTAATTTATGATATTGAAATCCGACCTTCGTCTTGATATTAATCTTTATATATATGCATTATTATTTTAAAAAGTAATATTGTTTTTATGTTGGAACCATGGCTTGCAATGCTTTTTTAAGGATAAATGTGACTATTGTGGTCAATCACAAAAGGCATACAACATCTACAATAATAAATTAATTATGAAAAAAGACAATTTAAAGCATCAAAATATTTATCAAATCTAATAGTATTTTCCTATATAAATAATTGATGTAATTATGCTCCAACCATCAACGGTTTGATAATCAACGACTCGATATCTCAAATTGCGACAATATAACCCTACATTAGCTACATACAACTAATTTAATTTATGATATTGAAATCCGACCTTCATCTTGATATTAATCTTGCAACACAAAAAATCTCTAAAAAGAGGGATATGAAAAAAAAAAATATTAATTGAACAATCACATAACACTATTCAAAACAAAAAATAATAATAAATAAATCACATACCAAATAAAAAAATAGCAATTCTTTTAGATTTATCAAAACATTATAATATAAAATAATTAAATTACAAATCAACATTTAAAATGTAGGCCATTAACGATGTATTGACTTATCTATTAAAATATAGGCCGATAAAAATATGGTTATTAGATCAAATCTCTCCTTCCTCATTTATAGTTTATATTGCCTTTATAACTCATTCGCAACAAAAAAATAATTATTAGTTGTTTAAAGACCATTGGATATTTGCCTAGAAAACCTTTATGATGTATGATTGTAGGGCTTAAGATAGTGAGAGTGAAATTAAAAGAACAATTTCTTTGAATTGATAGCTGCTTGATTTGGCCTTGGATTGTTTTAATTGCATTTCAATTTCAGTCTCTTTCCCTTTCTCTTTCTGCATTCCCTTTCTAGTGTGTATTTTCTATTATTCCTACAACTCAACCACCATCATATTCAATTCAATGCTTAAATTAGCCATATTCAAAGATTAGAAAGTTTAACAAGTAATTAAACCCTAATAATTTCTTCTTTTTTTATATATACATATTCATATTCAATTCATTTGTTGTTTTGCCTTTAACAATTGTGCTAATCACATACCAATTTTTTCTACAACGGAGTAATGTGAGTGAGTACCGTGTTAGACAATTGCAAGTGTTCAAATGTCAAATAAAATTAAATTTTCAAGTGTTTTGGTCTTAAAAAAAGTGTCTCCACGATTACACCTATTAATATAATAGTATGTGTAAGCGAATCCAACATGACATTTAAAAAGAATTGAAGAGCATGAATAACATGATTTTAATTAATAATTAATGATTTCACCAAAAAAAATAATAATTAATAATTAATAAGAAGGTAGAAGATAAGGGAAATTTAATTTCATTAAGTCGAGGGAGGCCACTTATCAGAAAATACAAGTTTCTCTTAGTAATAAACAAAAATTGTTTATCATATGACATTTTCATAAATAAATCAACATTTTTTTTAATTAATGTGATTAAGTTATTGATTTATTTACGAAAATGCCATGTGATAAACAATTTTAAATTTTATTACTAAGAGAAACTAGGGCAAGCTCACCGATAATGCATGACTTAGATTGAAGGAATTAAAACGATTTGAAAAAAAGGGTTTAATTTGCAAAAATGGAAGAAGAGGGGTCATCATAAAAGACCACAAGAGACAGATTCTTGATTCATGTAACTAACCCCGTCCTTAAAAAATTACGTTGTGTTGTTATTATAAGCGGATTTTATATGGATGATCTATAGAACACTTGGAAGGTTTTGTGAAATTTGATAATTCGAAGCTAACATCCTAACAATTGTGGCAAAAATTTGTTGACAACTTACAAGTTTACACGATCAAGGCATTAATCCTTTTCAAGCATTGGGTTGGAAAAAGACAGCTCATTAATTACAAAGTTCACAACTTCCATTTCATTTAATAATATGTTTGTACAATGTACTGGTAATTGTTTGTCTTGTTCTTATTCAAATACTTCAATTAAAATCAAGCAGACATTATTCAATTAAGGGTAACAATTTTAATGTTTTATCCTTGCACTATAACATTGAAATCAATCAGTTAATTCCTTACATGATTGATAAATTTGGGTACGGTACAAATCGGTTTTGGGTTGTTTTTAGATCACTATGATTGTATTTTCAAGTTATATTTTTTTCCGATTTTGTTTGATTTTGGGCAGACATTTTTAGACGAGCAGGGTTTTTTTAGGTGCCGCAATCATCTGCTGCCAAATTAGGGGCAGAATACTTATTTAGTAATAACTTGTTGCTTGAAGAAGCAGAACTTAGCTAGTAGTTTGTTCATTTCCTTTTGTTGGACTAGATCATTTATGCACAAATTAACTGTAGATTTTGATGTTGAGTTAAATATAACAGTATATCCGCAATAGGTAAAACACGAAATTAATTAATAACTTATGAGGCGGACATAGAATTAGAAAATTGGTGGGACAACTAATGGTCAATTATACTTGTTTAGTAACATTCTTTTGAAAAAAAAGGTGGGGCACGGGGCACGTGCTACTCAGAATTTTACTAGATCTGTCTATGACACACTTTATTAATATCAAATTTTTATAAAATTTGCATATTCAAAACAAAAGATATTAGTGATTAAAACGTGTAATAAAAAGTGTTGCATTTAAAAGAAAGAGGAAGTATTAAGGGAAAAAAAAACCTACTGTACTCTCATGCATCACAGAGGATTAGAGGAATGCAGGTTGATTATACTTGCTAGTATAAGAGAGCACTAAAGAATTTTCGTGCATTGCGAAAATTTTCCCTTGAAAGTGTCACTCAAGAAATGGAAGTTAAAGATAGGTTTAAGGCAGTCCTTATAGTAAGTTTCTACCAAATGTAACAGTTTTGGTTCATATAGCTTCATGTACTAATCTGCTACATAACAATCAAGCCTAATGTTTCGAGTATTATGCTAAGATTTCTGAGAATTTGCTTCTGAAATATTATGATGTAATTGTGTTGTGCTATTATTTTTTCTCAAGGAACAATTAGTTTCATCTCTTAAGGTACATAATACATGAACTTGTGTTAGAAGTTAGAACTAACAACTATAGATTGTTCTTCATGTACTTTATGTATCATATCTTATTATTTCTGGTGAAAAGATCTAGGCATAAGTTGGATTTTTTTTTTTCAGGGTCAATTATCTTTGTTTAATTAATTGTTATAAATACTATTATTACATCCAAAGCATCTGTTATGGCATCCAAGAGTCCACTTTTCGATATTAAAGTAATGCTACTAGTAATAAACAATTTTACATTTAGCAAAGTATGTATTTGTGAATGATTCCTGTGGAATATAGCAGCTTCATTCTAACATCAATGGCTGAAACTGCAGCCAACAATGATACTCCAAATATTGGTGCTTCGGCTTCAGAGTGTAACCATACATACGACGTGGTTATAGTAGGAGCTGGGATAATAGGCTTGAGCATTGCCAGGCACTTTCTACTTCATTCTCACCTGTCTGTTGCCATTGTTGATGCTTCTACTCCTCTCTCTTCTGGTGCAACCGGTGCCGGTATGTGTTAACTAGTACTCTTTGCACGGTCTTGAAGACCGAACTTTGATCACTGTTTTTTTCTTATTAGATAGTTTTATAATCTTGGAGGACATACTCATGTGACAATACTTCATTCAAAAATCTTAATATTGACTATTTGTAGGGCAGGGCTACTTATGTATGATACATAAAACACCGGGAACTCCTCTGTGGGATCTGGCTATAAGAAGCCAACAATTGTGGCAGATGTTTGTCGACAAACTTACAAGAACAAGGCATTAGTCCTCTGCACTCAGTTGGATGGAAGAAAACAGGTCATTGTTAAAGATTTCTGATTTACTGAAAATTAGTTCACTCGCGGTAAAATTATAGTGCATTGATTCAGCATCATGTACAGAATTTGTACTAGTTCTATTTGGAATAATGTTATCTCATATGGTTATGATGTACACTGCAAGGCTGAGCTGATAGCGAGTTCAGATGATTGGAAAAATGGATCTAATGTTATAGAGTTGGTGTAATGGTGTGATTAGTAACATAACATGTCTGAGATGATCAGTTGAGGGAGATTTAGTGATTTTATGCTGTTCTGTTTTAATCAGGCAGTGTGTTAGTTGGTAGAACCAAAGAAGAAGCGGAACAACTGAAGAAAAGGGTGCAGCAGCTATCTAATGCAGGACTGAGAGCAGAATACTGGTGTAGCAGTAACCTTCAGCTGAATGAACCAGAACTTGTTGTTGGTCCTGAAGGTTGTGCTGCCTTTCTGCCAGATGATGCCCAAATAGATGTGCATAGCGCCGTTGCTCTGATTGAAAAGGTTCATCTTTTTTTAAAATACACACTTATGTTTCTTGGCAATTCAATCTAGCTTTCAACTAATTTGGTATGATTTCATTAGGACAACAGACACTTCATACCACATAATAGATATGCCGAGTTTTACAATGATCCAGCTGTATGTTTGATAAGGTGAGAGTTTTTCCTCTCCAAATTACATTATAAAGATGGAATGATACTGTCAGACTGATCATCTTTATGCAGATCTAGCAAGGATGGAAAGATTGATGCTGTTAAGACTAGAAACAATAATGTTTTGCGTGCCAAGGAAGCTGTTGTTGTTGCAGCTGGTTCTTGGACTGGATCATTAATGCACAAATTAACTAGAGATCTTGATGTCACGATTAACGTTCCAGTACAGCCTAGGAAGGTAAATACATCACTACAAGCTTATTAACCGAGTGAAATGCTTAGCCTTGTGATGAGCGCCTTTTTGCTTGTTGGTTTTTGCAGGGTTATCTACTTGTTTTTGAGAATTTCAAGTCTATCCTTAGACTCAATCATGCAACTATTGAAGCTAGCTATGTTAATTATCAAAAATCATCAACTGAAAATAGCAGCAAATCAACTGATATTTCAATGGCAGCAACAATTGATGCAAAGGGAAATCTTCTTGTCGGTATAAAATTACTCAATATGTACTCCATGACAAATACTTCCTCTATGAATTGTGTACACTAGCTACTGAAATGTTGCAAGTACATACCAATGAAAAGTAATCGTTAATAGACATGTTCGATTTCTTACTGTCATCTGATATCCTATGCTAATATTTATGTTTTAGGGAGTAGTAGACAGTTTGTTGGATTTAATGGAGACCTGGACATGCACATTGTTGAGCAAATATGGAAGCGCAGCCAAGAGTTTTTCCCTGCTTTGAGAAGCTTCTCCCTTGAAAGTTTAAACCAAGAAATGAAAGTTAGGACAGGGTTTCGCCCTTACAGTAAGATCCTAACTGTAAAGAACAAAAAGTCGTACTCACTCTGTCCCTAGATAGTAGGCCACATATACGAGTTCCTAGCTAGCTTAATATAACTATGTATCCTTGTTATTATGAGAGGAAACTAATTACTCAATAGAAGCGTGTGGCCTATTAAACAGGAATGGAACGAGTGACAGTTGATATAGTATCAGTAATTTCTGTTTCATACGCGGTATATAACAAGTGCCTAAAACATATTTTTGCTATGACATATGAATGAAGTGCCTGATGGAAAGCCGGTCATTGGGCCTATTCCTTCCATGCCGAATGTCTACCTTGCAACCGGACATGAAGGTGGAGGAATCAGCATGGTAAATTACTGTTTTTTTTGTAAGAATTATGGAAACTGAAAAATACATCAGATTATGTAAATTTTGGTAGATAAACTGACTTTTATGTTATGTTCAGGCTCTTGGTACAGCTGAACTGATAGCAGATATGGTATTGGGAAATTCCTTGAAACTTGATCCTACGCCTTTTGCTGTGGAAGGCCGATGCTGTTGAACTAACATAGTTTTCGCTTTGTATCCAAAATCCAATAATGTTCTTGATTTTGCATGAAAATGAGCTGATTATTATGTTGGGATCTTTCTCATTTTTTAAAGGACAGTATGTATCAGTATAACAGTTCTGAGAATTTGCTCCTGATGTATTATTATGTGATTTCTGTCAAGAATCATTTACTTCTCTTATTTTCATCGGACCTTGTTCTCTTCAATTAATTTTGATTATTTAACGAAACATCACTAATTAAACCTACATTACAAAGGTCAAAGGTGAGGTTTAACCACCGAACCTCAAATGAAGATCACACTTATTACCAACATAGTTAGAAATAATATCTATCACATAAACAAAAAATATAAAATAAAAGGAAAAAAATACACCTAACCCGTTTAAATTCGTATTGGGTTCGTATCGACGCAATTATGTAAATGGGTCGAGAATACTTGACCCAAACCCACTTACAAAAATATAAAAACCACTTTACAAATTTAACAACAACTCCGTTTCGAACAATTCGCTCTTTGCTCCTGACTGAGGAGAGAGACTGAACACCAAATTGGCGGAAATTCATTCACTTCTAGGGTAAATTTTCCCTCAATTCTTTCGCTTTTTCGATTAATTTCTGCAATTCTTATGCTTCGATTAATTTTCACAATTCCATGATTTTAGTTATCCTTATTAATTTCTCCATTTTGGTTTTTTATTTTTTGTAATTGCTGTGATATTGAACATGGAAATTCTGGGAATTTGATGATAGGTTTTCCAGATTATTCTTTGTTATCGTTTTTTGTTTGAGTCTCGTTAATTATTTTGTTTGTAACGTTGATGAATTGTACCATGTTTGTTAATTCTTTTCGTTGTTGATATTTTTTTGTGATCAAATTATGTCGTTCAATTTTAATAAAATGCAATTTTAACATGGAAATTCTTATTATTTACGGATGATTTCCAGGTAAATTAACCCTTTTTAGTCATTGTTTAAACCCTAATTTCTTGTATTTTGAGTCGATTCCCCTATTTACAACCAGTCCTAATTTTGTATCGTTTTAATGGAAAATCTCTAATCATTATCATGCTAGTTTTAATGTTGCTGATGATTTTTAAGCTCTGACTGCATCATAGAAATTGTAATAAAAAAGGATGCTTTACTTCATTTGGATGATCGTATAATTCGTATTCGTCTCTTGCCAGCTTAAATTGGGTGGGTTTTTTTGTTGGCATTTGTTTAGTAAATTTAGTGGAAAACACTAATAGATTGTTGGATATCCCATTTCCTGATCATCACATCACCTGTAGTATTGTGCTTCAGGTTCTCGAAGTCGTATGTGATCTTCGAATCTCTTCAAGAACAAAGGGAAATGTGCAGAAATTGAGCATCTAAGTGTAATGTATCCCCATGAATGCTTTATTTCAGTTCTGAACTCTGAACTAATTGGCTGTGTGTGCAGTAGATAATTCCTTTATATATGCAATTTAGTTTCATTTAATTATGTGTAACGATAGCCGGACTTGCTTGCTTCTGACTATGTGCATTGCTGAAAGACTAACATGTACAATTAATCCCTTCTTTAGTTCTCTTCAAACACTCTGGTTGCCTGGCAAGCAAAGTGATTTAACACCTTTGTGATATGTAATTGCTACAACTCCCCAGAACTTTATTTTGGTTGCAGGCGCTAGTGCATTTGCTTGTACATTATGGAGCTGAATAAAATCAAAGAATCTTTTGAGCACGTGGTAAAGAAGCGAAAATTATCATCTTCTAAGTGTCATGAAGTGGTTGATACTATCGACCATGAACTTAAGCATGCTTTATCAAGAGTGCAATTAGATCAAAACCTTACCGTTCCAGAGGATCATAAATCCATTTTGAGGGATCTGAAGTCCAAGCTTTCTGATTATGGCTCAGAAAAGGAGCTGGAAAACTCACAGAAAGAGCTTAACTTACATCTCAACAAGTCTCAGAAGCTCCTTGAGAAAGTACTGAATCCTTATATATCTAAGGGGAACAGAAAGATTGACTTTGATGTTCAGACAATTAATCAGATTATCATAGATCATCTCTTTTTCAAAGGCCTGTTTGATGTTGGAGATTGTTTAAGTAAAGAGGCAGTTGTCCCAGAAGTTAATGTGCTACGATCTCAGTTTTTTGAAATGTCCCAGATTCTGGAGGCTCTTCACATTGAGAATTTACAACCTGCCTTTAACTGGGTCTCTGCCAACCATGAAAAGCTTAGAGAAAATGGTTCAAGTCTTGAGCTGAAACTTCACCAGGTGCGATATGTGGAATTACTGAAGCAGGGGAGCCAAACTGATGCCCTGAATTATGCCAGAAGCAACCTTGCTCCTTTGGCTACTTTGCATATGGATGAGGTTAAAAAACTCATGGCCTGTCTTTTATGGATAGGAAAGCTTGATAAATGTCCTTATTGGGAAAAGTTGGCTATGACTAATTGGAAAGAGTTGGCTGATGAACTATTGCAGCAGTTCTGCGTGCTGTTAGGCCGATCTTGTCGTCCACCATTGGCGGTGGCTGTAGAAGCAGGGTCTGAAGCATTGCCTATTCTCTTGAAGCTTGTGAATCTGATGGCTGTGAAACAGGATTGGCAAGGGATGGAGGAGCTTTCATTTCCTGTGGATCTTGGAAAGGGTTTTCAATTCCATTCAACCTTCATATGCCCAGTGACTAGGGATCAAGGAACTCTAGAAAATCCCCCCATGTTGCTGCCTTGTGGACATGTCCTGTGTCGGCAATCAGTCATGAGTATCTCCCTGAATAACAGCAGGACCTTTAAATGCCCGTGTTGCCCCCGTGATAATATAGCAGTTGCACAATGCAAGCAACTGCATCTCCCTTGATGATTGTATAGTCCCTTTTAGTTAAAGTTATCTTGTGTGTAGAGATTCAGAGAATAGTTATCTCAGGATTAGAGTATTTGTATTTATCAAATAGTAATTCTCATTATATAAAGCTAGTAACAATCCACATCCCAGTTGGTATGTTTTGAAGTTATATTCCTGAGTACAGTATATTTTTGTCAATGTTTATATTTTTGTGTAAATAGTGAAGGAAGTGATATCCCTATGGTTGGACTCAGTTGATGCACAGTGAAAGCCTTTTCAGGCCACACAAGTACGAAGTATAATTCTAAGTTTATGAGAAGGGTCTGATATATTCAGAACTGTGAGGGGATGTTTGGTTCACTTAATTAAGGTATAAGGTATGGGTTTAAAATGGTTTAATCTCATACTTTATGTTTGTTTTATGATTTTAAGAGTTTTAAACTCATACCTCAAACCCTCAAGGTATGGGGTTTAGAAATTTGGGGGGAGGTAGGTTTGGCTCATTCCCATACTTTTAGTATCAAACAATAGAAATAAAATTGCATTCCATAATCATACCAAACAAATGGTATAAAGAATTGAGTTTCAAACCTATACCACTATGGTTTTATTCCGATTCCAACCCCATATCAATTTAAGAACCAAACGCCCCCTTAAAGGTGTTAAACGATTTTAATTTTTTCATCAATGCACTTGTTGAAGTAAGTTGTTGAGATTTCAGTGTTAAAAACACACCAAGTATTTAATGGACATAATCCCATTAATTGAGTTCGACCTAATGGATTGACATTAGCATATTTAATGGAATGTTATAAATAGTACAGTAACAATATTTGTATGAAACAGAAAAATCTAAAATTCAAGAGAAATCTGCAAAAACAGCTCCAATTGAAGGGAAGCATTGTTCATAATCAACATATTCAATAAAGTCGAGGATAATCAAACTAAACAAATAGAGAAATAATCCCCAAAAATTCAAAGAACCAAAAATCAAACAATTCCTCCAATAACACTAATTATAAGGGGAAAACCCCATGATTAATTTCTTCAAAGTAGGAAAAAATACATCAGAATTACTCGATTTAAACTCATCTTTCTGACAAAAATCTGAACTTTCATTCTCCTTTGAATCATTCATCACAAATTCTTCAACCAAATCTTTAACAGATTTAGGTGATAATGGATGAAAATTCAAACCCCAATCAGAAACAAACCCTTTAACCAAACCCAGTTTATCATCTGGGCTCAAATTCCTCCATTTGTTCATGACATCATCTGGGTTCATATCAAGGTAGTTGCAGAGGTCAGAGAAAAGCAGCTGTTTGCTTATCTTCATAGCATTTTCTCTCTCCTTTGACTGGGTATTTAGCTTATTGACTTCTGCAGCAAAGTCTGAAGCTAAGTCTGAATCACTGATTTTGTTGAGTTTATTTGGGTTGTTGTCTCCTTTGCTGAAACAGAGGAAATTTTGAGATTGAGGGTAGAAGGAGAGAGAAAGAGGATTTGTTGAGGGTTTTAGAGGATTTGTTGAGGGTTTTAGAGGATTTCTGAAATTGGGGAGAAGAAGAAAGGAAGGTGTTCTAATGGAGAAAGACATGATTTTTACAGATTTTTTTTCGAAGGTTTCGAGTTTTTTCTGAAGTTTGGATTATGATAAATGAGTGACTTGCTTAAATGGTGGTGTTACTATTGGCAAAATATGATAATGACATATTGACAACAATTTTTTTTACTGAGTCAATTAAGTTAGTTTCAAGCTGAATTTTAGGTTTAAAAAAAAAAAAAAAAAAAAAAAGTTTGGATTGGATTAAGTCATTAAGCTGATTCTCATGTTTCAGTTAATAAAATCTAACTCGGGACGACTTTAGACTTTGTTATTTTACTCTACTTATAACCCTCAGTTGGAAATTTTCAATGAGAGCTTATTAATTTGTTTAAACTCGTTTTACTGTTGCTAATTGAACTTAATAGCCATAGGTTTTTATTATATCATCGACATAAACCAAAACATCAACGGAAAATTGGAAAGGAAGGTGTTTAATATAGACCAAGATGCTGTTGCCAATCTTCAGGAAAAAGAAAAGAAATTAAAATTTATCACTGTGAATCTGTGATAACGTTAGAAGTTTCTGAAGTCTCACCAATTCATTACAATATTGTATTGTTGTTGCCTACAGAAATTTAGCTTTAAACAAATTGGAACAAACTGAAAAAGAAATCCTCTACATTTTCAGGGTAATATTACTAACATATGTATAAATGAATGAATTAGGCCTATAAATCATCTAGGACCTATGTTCTATTACAGCCTTACAGGCTTTACAGCTATAAGGTCTCTTGCAACAGCATAGCCAAGGTCGTCCAGCAAACTTAACCTAATCTTCTGTAGAACAGTTGTGTGAATATGTGAAATCTGAAATGAATAACGAAGCCTTTTAGCCCAACATATTAAACTTCAGCAGATGAAATCGACTGTTGAGTTTTCACAATCAGATGAAACTGGTCCACAACGTAATCAAAACCTGTTCAGTGACCCAACTTGCCTGAGATTGAAAGCATCGGAGTTCAACACAATTCACGGGAAGTTGTCTAACTAGTCTTGAACAGCAAATCCCCTTTCAGATCATAAGAAAATGAAGAAAATGGGATTTCTGATATCTTATCTTGCAAATATGGTTCAAATTCTAGTCAAATTGACTACTCAGTCCCCAAAATTGTAGCGAATCAATTCTGATAATATATCAACCCAAGTATCTGGAAGACCAGGAAGGCACCAATGCATGCAATCTTGGCCCCAAACTGCAACAGCATCCTTCTTTCCAAGCCATATTGCTGGATGAGCATCTGCTCGGTACTCACTCAGATGACTCAAGTCGAGCTTTTGGATGTTGCTTCCTTGTAATGCCTCATCAATCACTTGATTAAGCTCCCTTGCTTCTTTGTTGACTCCATTGTTGACAGGATCAAACCACAAATCAAGCTACATGGGAATTAGTTCTTTTGAATTCAAGGTGAAGGGAAATGAATCAACAGGAACAACTGGAAAAAGAAAGCCCAAAGTCCAAACCTGAGGTTCTTCAAGGGGTTCATCAAACAAGCAACTGCCATTCTGATTCCACTCTCCACCAAAAAAGTGCCTTGGTGATTGCATCCGCCAAAGTTTGAGCTTAGTGTTAGGAACTTCCTTTTCTATGTACGATATCATACTTTTCAAGACAACTTTAAGCCCATCCTGAAAATCAAGGGAGGGAAGAATAGGCTTTCCATTTTGATAGAACACAAGAGGCGTCTCTTTTGGGAATTTATGAGGGCCCCACCTAATCAGCACAAAAATAGTTTGAATATAAACCATGTTAAGAAGCGACTTAACAAAAATGAAGAAACAAAAAGGAAACCAAATAATTAATGTAACAAAGCTGAATTATAAAACAGCCTCACATCAATTTCTATGATGCTACAATAGGAAAACAAGGATCTAAACTGATCTCCCAAACAGGTATGTATTGAGAATAGCTACTATCTGCATGTACAATAACTTTGATAGCACCAAATCAGTGTGCGTATTCATTTGGTATATAACTAAACGAAATGTAAATGGGCAAGAAAACATAAGATTACCAATGGCCAGTGTTAAAGACGAGGACATCATAAAATTTGGTGATCTGAACCCATTCATCAGCAGGAACATCAATGTCCACTCTATATATGCCTTTTATTCCATCCTGGTCAGACTCTTTTGGCTGCCACCTATACTCAGCCACATGTACACAATCAGGTTACGTTTTGCAAATAATGTCAGTATAAGAAACCATCAAATAACCACACAACCAATAAATGGTGTCTTTAACTGTTAAATTAGGCAGAAATTTGAATAAGCTCAGATAAGAAAAGCGACCATCAAAAGAAACAGAGAAATTCAAGTCCAAGTAGTGTCCAACATCTTAAGTAATTCATAACCGTGTTAGGAATTTCTCTTAGAATAATCCAAGTCAAACTGTCTCAAGATTGTGATGTTCTCCGCCCATTTCCTTCATGTTTGAATTTCAACTCAACAACCTAAGTCTCATTCACTTTCTTGTTCAATAAACTGTCAGAGTGCAAAATATATCCAAAATCTTATACCAGTTATATGTATGGAGGATGTTTTGATTTATAATCAGCAGGTATAACAATAAGCATAAAAAAATATCTACTACTGTACAAATTACCACATCCTCCACATCATGAGATATCAGCCCTATTTCTATCAATAGAGAACTTTTACCAACACAATGTCACATAGATCATATATAGATAACTTTAAGAGCTGAATTAGCAATGCTTGTAGAGCAATAACAAACACCAAAGGCAAGGAAAACATTACAAAAGACCAATAACATACAAGACTTCCTAGAGAGTAGTTTGAGCTTTGAGTTGCTCCACATTCATATCAATAATTGATGGGTGAATTTGACTACGTCTAATAGAGCAGCTCTCTACTGAAACAGCTTGTGAACTAAGAGGAACTAAGAGGCTTATTGCTGACAAACTTCACCAGCTGCTTCCTATGCAACCTATAGTTAGCTGAAAGCTACAATTGATGAGAGAGGAATCCTCCTATCTCTCAAGGTCGTATATAAGTCCTTATATTCACCTTATATCAGCAATCCCATAAACCAATTCCTGCAGGCTACAATTGAATCCTAGACTTTAGTAGTTTAGTACACAAAATTAATACATAAGTGCAAGCCTTGTTATAATATAGAATGAAAATTAATACATATGTGAAAATCTTGGCTATCACATTATTCCATCTACTGGCTACTTCCGCCCACAAAAGCCATGCATTCTTTTTCCCCGTCAATTCTTTATAACCACTCTAGAACATCTAAGAGTTTTTTAAGAATATCAGCCCTAACATTAATATTTTTTTCTAATGCTATATCATACAGTTTCTTCAATCAATTAATAATACTTCCCAATCACCTGAATTACAATGAAGCTTCGCATCCCATTAAAAAATCATCTTTGCAAGCTCGTGCCTAAGACAGTATGACATACACTATGCTTCCATCCTAGGACATATCATTTAATCACCTTCCAAATACTATCACTAAGTAAATTTTGTTCCACATCTCAAGAGATTAACTTTGAACCAACCACGGTCAAATCCATCTAACAAATTGCTAAATCACAACGGACCTAAATATGATATCGGCCAGTTCCACCATTCTGATAAAAATGAGGTTTCATACTTTCATATAGAGTTCATGATACTTGCTCTCCAGACATTGTCACAATTCATAGTTACCTTCCTACTCTAACAAGACATCAACACATCATAAAATTTTATCAAAGCATCACTCTTGCATCACAAAATTGTCATATACAATAACAAACATATTGTAAAGAATGTAACTTCTAAAATCCATATTAAAAATTAATGTAATAATAATTTCAAATGAATAAGTGGTGTCTTACTGGTATTTAGCAAGCAAAACAGCACGATGATAAGCAACAGTGACATTAAACATAGGGAAATAAGCACCTCTCCAAGCACCCTTCTTTTTCCACTTCTTAGCACCATTATCAGCAACCCTCAAAATACACAAAAAAGCAACCAAGAAATTCTCATTCAAAGAATCCCCAATAAACCCAATATTCTTATTTCTCATCATACCCAGAAACCCTAATGGATCAATCTGATTCAAACTGCAATTATCAGGCACCCATTTCCAAGAATTAATCATACCCATTTTCTCTCTCCTATTTCTCAAGCAATTCCAGGCGTTTCTGTGAAATGGGCAAGTTTCATCATACATGGGTTTTCGATTCGGGTCGGATACCCATCTCCCCTTGAAGAAATTGCATTGATTTAGAGAAGAAAAGTGGGTTTTTTGTTCGGATTCGGGTTTAGAATGGGGAATTGGGAGTTGTTTGGGAGAGGAGAAAGAGAGGAGAGAAGAGTAAAGGTAAAGAAGGATGAGAGTTGAGAAGATTAGAGATGTGAAGAGAGTTGTGGAGTTTTTTAGATGCATTTTCATTGAAGTTCGTTCATTAATGGCGGAAAGTGGAGGAGATCAGCCACTGTTATGGCGGAGGAAAAGGAAAGGTGACGAGTTTGGAAAGCGATTTCCTAGTGAGAACTAGTGTGATTCATTAAGGATCTAAATTGAGGTGGTTCGGCTTATGATTACATTGTTCTGACCACCAAATAGGTCTCTCGGCCTCTCGGGTCATTAGCTTGATAATCTAGCCTTGTTAGGTCCGGAAATGCTTTTAAAAGAAAAAATTAAAGATTTTATAACACGAAATTTAGTTATTTTTGTAGAAAAACTCGATGTTGAAAACTCAATTAGCAGTGGCGGACTGACGGTGGGGGTATTCTAGATTCATAAAATCATATACAGTCCACTGATTGGCTATATAAAGGATCAAGAAGGTTTTGAGTCAATGACAGAATATGAGAATATATTTTTTGTATCTGATAGTTGATAGTTAAAAGGCAAGGTAGATGGCTTCAAACTACCCAAGTTACATCTCAAGGTCTTAGAGATCCATGGTTTCAAAGCTTTTTTCAACTCCAATAGTAGTATATTCAAGACTTGGTGTTGGAACTCAAGTAATGTTAAGGGGGGCATCCCAAGGCCATGAAAAGCTTGTCTGAGACCATATACATCCTTTAACCGGATGCATAAGTGAAAACATTGAATCTATGATAGGATGTGTTTATGTAATAGTTTCAATTGAAAATACTTACGAGACAATGATAATAAATCTAATCTCTTAGAGCTATCACGTTACACCATTATTGATATTTGTTGTTTATAGTGACACCTATCTAGAAAATATCTAAAATAACGCCTTATAAATCATTTACTTAAAAAAGACATTTTCTTATCCATTTCTTAATCTAAAACAAAAAACTATAATTTCCAACTAGCTAATTGCCACAAATCAAATAATTCAATTTTCTTCCCAAATAAACTCCAATCATCAATCACCCAAAGACAAAGCAAAAATTCATTGGCCACCCATCCAAATATCCAAAATTCCAATGTATTTGGAATTATATTAAAGAATCCACTTATTATTATTATTATTGACAGGACCACCGTTGCCATCACTCTTCCACCACCTTTCTTTCATACAACAACACCATCACATTCTTCTTCCATTTCTTTGGCGGCTATTCTTCGTCCACGATTTTCTCTCTCCTCTCTTCCATCAATTCGTTGTTTCTCTTTATCTTCTGGTGAGCTTTTCTTTTTCTTCCTAACTTTGTTTTCATGATAAAAATCCTATCTGTTTTTGATTTTTTATTTTTGGTGAGCTATTTTTTCTTCTTTTTAACCTTAAGTTTGATAAAAATCCAATCTTTGTTTCTGGGTCATTCGTTTTAGATATGTAAATTGCCCTGATTCGTGATTAAAAATGGTTTCTGCTGTTGGGTTTTTAGTATTTTTGGTATTTGATTACTGGGTGTTGTTTGATTTCTTGGCTTCTTTAATGGATTGTTCTGGGATGTTGATGATTAATTCAATGTGCATTAAGCTGATTAGGTTTATTTTACAAATTATTTGTATTTTTGAGCTGGAAATAGGTATGATTTGAAGAAATGATTGTAATAGTAAAGATGTCGCTTTCTCATTTTTGGTGTGATAAATGTGCAAGATTTGAAAACAATGGAAGTGAATTAATGCACAAGACTAACTCCTAAAGTGCTCCATGACTTAACTTGACAACTTAAAGTTTGTATGGACTCTTTTCAAGCAAATTGTTGAAATTTAAGAATCAAGAGATGCTCGAATAGTTGGGGCCATTGTGCCCCCGATTAAGAGATTGAGGGTTCGATTCTTATCTGACCTTTGTGCCTTTCTTTCAAACCGAAAAGATGTAAAATAGGAAGTAAATTTTTTTGACAATAGTCTGTATGGATTGGATTAGCTTACTATAACAAACAAAAGAAAGACAGCTCTTATTAGATGCATCATCTGTCCATACCTAGGAGCATATTTTTTCAAATTTCAATTAATGTAACAACAATATGTAGGGAAGCCAATCCACAAGGCACTTTCATTCCCCCCTAAGTTGGTGCTAGATTTGCTGGTAGTGTGTGTAGGACATATGACAAAATATTAGGCCACTGGCTATCTTGGCATATTCATTCAATCAATACTTTGTTGGATATATATTAGGAAAATGCCAGTCGAAAGCAGGTTGCTCCTCTTTAATTTGGCTGAATTTTAGAACAAAATTGAGCACGTGTTTAGTGAGCTTGAGCTCTCGTCCTCTATAATGAATGATCACTAAAGGTCTGTTTGGATAAAGAAAGGGGAAGGAAAAGAGGGGGGGGGGGTGGGGAGGAGAAGAAGAGGGGAGGGAAAAGGAAGGGATGGAAGAATAGTGAGTTTTCCTTCCAAATCTCTCCATTGTTGGAGGGATCAATTTCCTACAATTTAATCTCTCCATTTCTCTCCCCTCCAATTCCCTTCCTTCCTCATTTGTTATTCAATGAAAGATATCTCATATCTCTATTTCCTTTCCCTTCCTTTCCCTCCATTTCCTTCAATTCAAACACACCGTAAAAGTACAAGATTGAGGTCTTCTACTTTGTGGTAACATACTGCCTTGTGTTTAATAATTTGTTCAACTTGTATAACTATAAGAATTGTCAGTTCTGCCAGTTGATATTATTTCCTTTTCTCTTGATATTTTATTCTTCCCATTTCTCTTTTGATTGATTATTATGGGATTGAACTCTTGTTTGTTCACTTAACCATGATCTACCTTTTCTCCAGCCATGGACAATGTGAGCAGTCCAAGTTTATTTCCACTGCATCATTGCAAAGTTATTCATCTGGTTGGTGCCTATATTTTTCTTACACATGCGAATCTTCATCATGCCATCATGGGTTTAAGGATGCTATTTTTTTCGCCTTTGTGAAGTCAAGAATGTTCTCTTGCTTTTTGTTTGTGGTTTTGTACACCATGAATTAGGTGAGGCATGCACAAGGACTTCACAATATAGAAGGCGAGAAGAATTACAAGGCATATATGAAACCTGAATATTTTGATGCCCCCTTGACTCCATTAGGTTGGCAGCAGGTAACAACAGTATCATGTATGCCTCCTATATTAATGAGTATACTTGTTACACAGAAAATATTGTTAGTTTTGAGAATTTATATTTTATATTGTTTCTAAACACCAATGAAACTTCTGTTATTCATGCAGGTTGATAATTTACGCCGGCATGTTCGTGATTGTGGCCTCTACAATAAAGTTGAATTAGTCATTACTTCCCCTTTGCTAAGGTAATATTTTTGTGTCTTTTTTTGTTTAAGATGCCATGTGCTTAATTACTATCATATACAATGCATACACCCTTCCCCCCCCCCCCCCTCTTTTTTTTTTTAACCAAACTATGCATAAGGTTTACTTAGATTTTACTTGTGGCATTCTTTTCCTTTTCCTGCCTATTCTCCCAAGGTAAATAAAGTTCAATTTTATTCAACTGGTACTTTATCTAGTCTGAATTGGCTACCTTATTTCTACTTATGGGGACAACCTAAATATTAGGCACAAGAAGAAGATGGGGGTAAAGTAGTTCCAAAATTTAGGGATAGTCATGATCTTATGAATGCCCGTTCTTGCAATCTTGTTGCCTGAGTCACACAAGCATTTCGTCTATGTATGTCTTAGCTTAAGTTGTCTTATATAATTCCTGTATCTCTTGTGCTCTGTTATCGTGATGACCTGATTTTAGCCATTAGTCTGCTAGGAATGAAGGCTATTTTTTAATAACATTTTAGAAGTTAGCAAACAAAAAAAAAAAAAAAAAAAAAAAAACCCAGAAGGGCCAGTATACACAGTCATATCATGCATATGGATTGTGTGAGAATCTGATTGTTATTGTATGCAGGACTTTGCAAACAACAGTTGGTGTTTTTGGTGGTGAGGGCTATACTGATGGGATGGATGTGCTGCCAATGATGGTGGCAAATGCTGGAAACAGTGATCGTTCTGCAATTTCAAGCCTAAACTGCCCACCTATTATGGCTGTTGAGCTTTGTCGTGAGCATCTGGTATCATCTTTAGATATTACTTACTTTGCTCCCTAATATTGCACCATTTGCACTTTTGAAACTATTCACACTCTAAAAACTTTTCATGTTCTCTGCATTGTTTATATCACAACCCACACCGACTGTACTCTGTAACCTTATATGCTTGGTTACTATGGTTGTCTTTTATTTAGAGATGTTCCTTTCTCTAAAGAAACAGGAGCATTCGCTGATCATCTCTATTTCATTATTCTAATTTCAGGGAGTTCATCCTTGTGACAGGAGGAGACATGTTCATGATTATCAGTGTCTTTTCCCTGCTATTGACTTTTCACAGGCAAGCACTCTTTAGAATCAAATACATATGATGGAGAGTAGACTCTAAAGAATCTTAGATATGTTTCTATACTTGCAGATAGAAACCAATGAAGATACATTATGGAAGGCTGATGTTCGGGAAACCAAAGCAGAAGTTGCAGCTAGGGGAATGAATTTCATGAATTGGTTTGTACATGTAGTAATATGTTTTATTATGCTGCTTTGATAATAACATGCATCCTAAATTTATCATCTAGGGATCCAGTCATGGGTTGCATGTCTATATCATCAAGCAAAATCTGTGAAAAAATATGACCCTCACAGAGTTACAGTACAGTCTTTTTCGAATTCAATTTTGAATTTTATTTGTCATCTAGATAATGTGAATAGTTTGGGCTTCTGGATTCCTTCGCATTCTGTTTGCTGCACTTAAGAGTTACTTGAGCTTACATGATAGCTAGTTTGGGTCTCAAGGAATACATACTATATGAGCTAACACAATAATAAGTTGAGGAATACATATGAGCATTAGCATATTGTTATGCCCTTGACACTATATGCTTATCATCTTTTTCATGACATAGATCTTGACAGATTAGCATCTATTGAAACCGAACAGATTTTATTTGTCTCAGATCATTGTTACTTACTCTATTTTCAGATATTATGCTCTTTGCATAACAATGCACAATTTTTTTTTCCAATTGCCATACACAGGTTATTGACAAGGAAAGAGAAGGAAATAGCTGTTGTAACTCACAGTGGTTTTTTAATGCACACTCTGAGTCAATTTGGAAATGACTGTCACCCTCTGATGAAGGATGAAATAAGTAAACGGTGTGTTCCATCTAACCCTTATATTGCACCACTAATATGTTTCAATTATCGGCTATACTGATTTGCTTCAATAATAGACAGTGACAATCTCACTTGGGCCAACTTTTTGCTGTCATCACAAGTTGTATTCTTATGGTGTGCAATTTAGCTCGAAATTGATCTTAGTTTCTTTATGAGCTAAGTTATCAGTTAAATTTGTTACATGATAACCGTGAAAGGACAAGGGAGAGAATCCATTTTCGATATTGTCCATTCAAACATCTACCCATCTATGCATAGCACCAAATAGCTTTGTCTTTTCTCGCCACTTTCTAACTGATCTCTTATTATATAGGTGTTGTTGATAATAGACCTGAATTACATTATTTATGTATTGCAGATTTAAAAACTGTGAGCTTCGTTCAATTGTCCTCGCTGATAGGAAGTGAGTTCTTTGTAATACTATGAGGTATTTCCAACTCTTCAATTTCAGGGTTAGTTCTTTAGCTAACCACATAGCCTGGTTTTCAGTATGATAGGGTCTAACTCTAATGCACCAATCACCAATTATCCCGGCAAGATACCAGACGGACCCGATCTTCCTAGTGATGTTGCTGATGAAAAGGAGAACAATCATTGCTGAGTAAGAACTATCTCAATCTTTGCTGATTTGATGCGATAGTTTTCATTTCTAACTTACTATTTCAACTTTTTTTTTTATGCAGATTTATTGGATGGATGTTCATGAATTCTTCTCATCCAACAAGTTGGGATTATGATGATATTTGAGCGATATAATTTTGTGAGTGGTAGCAGACTCAAGGTTGCTAACACTGAACCATGGAATTCATACCGAGAAGTTTAAGGGCCTGTTTGATGATGACGAAATGTTCTTTGAGACACCTCTATTAAATTAACGTGTTTTAAGGATATTCAACTGATGTTGCGAGTTTTAGGCATTCTGCAGATTAATTCTATGAAGATTGAATTTATCTTTCTCTTGATAGTGCTATGTTGATATATTTGCAAATTTGAACTATATTGGCATGGTGTAAATTCAGAATGTACAAATTTATCAAAAATGTTTAAACTTCAAATATTTAGTTCTTTAATTTCAAGTCATTATGCTAACCTATTTTGAAATCTATAACTATATATTCATGCAATATCACAAACCAAACGTTTTACATAATTTTAGTTTACAAAATAAACTTGAACTTTTTATGAGACATACTTTATATAAAGCAAATGAATAAGAAGTTATAGATTTCAAAATAGATTAGCATTTTAGTGTACATGAAATCTTCTAAACAATGGATAAGAAGAATAATGGTCAATTAGAACATGCTTATGTGAAGAAAGCAACATCAATAGGAAGTCTTTAACTCCAGAATAGGATGCTGTCATCTATGCACCCTTCAAGATATCATAGTACGAAGCTGGTCTTTTCTTGGTCATCCCATATGATACCTAACCATAAGAGAAACGATTGAAAGAAAAGCTAGTGATCAAAGGAAGGCTAGCATGATAACAATTATGAAATTGTCATTATTCATTCATGGAAGTCATTTACCTCGATAACAGATGCCAAACGCAAAAGTGTGGCTTCATTCCATGGTCGGCCTATAAGCTGTAAGCCAATCGGTAGTCCCTGCTCATCATAACCAATCTGAAGGAACATATGATTGATGAATCATTTTAAGTTGGTGAAGAGAGTTATCCTTCAATAACTAGAACAAATGATTGACAAATCACTTAAAAGTTAAAATCAACCAAAATAAATGTCTCACCGGGATAGTAATGGCAGGGAAACCAAGAAGATTTGCAGCCACAATAAAACGCATCAAATAACCTATTAGTGGAAGTACAGGAAGAATATGTATCACTGCATTTGCCAAGTAGAATGAAAATCTAGCACCATCTCCGACTAATATCTATGGATGACTAAAATGAAACAAACACAATTTCTTCCTCTTGCGTTTAGCACTTTAGCCATGTAATTGCATATGACGATGACTATCCCTGCCTAGTATCTGTAAAAACAAAATCTGTTTTTGGCCATGTATATATGTATCTTGAGCTATTGACTCCAAATCAACGTAAACAAGAAGACGGATTGAAGTAGCCATTTCAAGTTGATTTTTAGAAATGTAGTCCAGAAGAACTCAAACCAAAACCTTCCTTTTTGTTAAGGCCATGGAAGTCATTAGTCAAATTGAGGCATCCATAAGGCTATACAGAACAGAAGAATAAGTATCTTAGGCGGTTGTGAGAAGGTAGGGTTTTTTAGGCAAGTGCCACTCTTCTAGATGCCAGACATATACCCTGCCCCAGGAAACAGCACCTCAACAGCAATATTCTAAATCGTTAAGCCTCACAACCCTTATCCTTAGTATCTGACCTTTACCGCTTTCTATGTACCCAGTCAGTGAACCTCGAAATCTAGCATAAAACTATAAATATATGATGAAATCTAACTCACCTGAAACCTGCAAGTTTGTCTCTCCAGATTTAAGTGCGCTGGTGGGTATAAGTGGAGCTGTCATGCTGTTCATCAAAAGGCAAGTTTATCAGCATTTGAAGCTATAGAAACTTAAAAGACAATACATCTATGATTGCAGACAATATAACTAGTGTAAACCTGTGAGAACCACAAAGTTATTAAACATGCAAAAAATATGTATAGCTAAGAGCTGCTTTGGTTGGCATCGAGAGTAGCTTATGGAAAACTGCAAATTATATCTTGGAAAGAGGAAAACCTCACATGAGTTCTCCCAACATTGGAAAAGAAAAAAGCTGAAGAGTAAAATTGGTCCCATTTTAGCTAGTGCAATTGTTATATGTCAAAAAATTTAAGCATACCCAGTGGTTGGTGTCACTATGATGTCCACCTTCTTGAAGACCTCCATGTGGTAATTCATCATCCTTCGCCTGCATAAGCCAGTAACCGGCATAAAAACAAACCATAGAAGGAATATACAGCTCAATTTCCAAGTTTTATATTATGTCAGGAAGATATCCATTAGCAACCACAAGGGAAATAACATGAGAGGCCCCCCTGCCCCTAAAAAAGGAGAGAACATGAGACTAAAAAGGAAGTTAGATAAAGCTATGATGAAAACTCATGTTGTACCAAGCTAACCAGTACCGGAAGACATATCATATATTTTTTAGACATAGCACGCAATAGGAGTAGTTGCGCATCTGAAACTACTGAGCTTAATCTCAAATACCAATTATCTAATGAAGACCGCAAAATAATGCCAGGCAAGTTAGTTTTCATTACACACAAAAGCAAGATTTTTTCAGCATGTAAAGCTCCCTCACCTAATCCGTTGGGCTGCAATGTAGTCTGTGGCTGAAAAGGAACGGAAAAGTGCCAGATTTGTGCGGGTATCATATGTCAACTTTGAATTATTCCTAAGGAGAGAAATCATTGTGCTTCTATTAGAAAATGGCCTTCAAAAATTTCTTACTTCAAAATTAGTTAGCGATTCTTGAACAGAATCTACTTGGCAGGAAAAAGCTTAAAAAGAAGAACATGCCCTTCTTCGCAATATGGATTTAGTGAGCACAAAGCTTCTGATCCAATTGAAACTACATGTGCAGTGCGCATCTCATGCAGCTCAGGAATAGTAATTTCCTCTGTCTTACGTATACAAACAGAAAGTCTCAGAATACTCAATGCTAACAATGGAAACATACTTTGGGGGCTGGGAGAGGGCGGGATATCAAAATATTACAAACAGTATATAGGTACTTGAGGAAGAAACCCTTTACTTGGCAATTATAAGTTTCTGAAAGCCAATTCAGAACATCCTCGCACTTCTGAGAGATTTCAGTAGAGTACACATCATTGAACCACTGCAACACAAGAGCTACAAAATCAAACTCAAAACGTATCATATCTAATATATAAAGATACCAACGTGAAAGGAATAACTAGATTACCTCCGTGTACTTCCCAAGTCGCAATGACCCTACAGCGCTGAGCTGGGCTTCAGATGACAGATTGGGTAAGCATGGTGGAGACTGGAACACAGTCCAGAGAGCTATCAGTTGACGTGTGGCAATAACAAATACAAGTAGCTCTCAATAATTCAGAAGAAATCAGAAAGGGAGGGAGAATATAGGTAGCAATTTAACTTACAGGTTTTAGGACAATTCTATCTGCAGGAGAGGAACCCAGTATCGCTGCATACCTTTAGAAACGCAATAGATGAAGTGAGTCAGTGAGATCATTCTAGAAGTTATGGGTCAAGTATCAAAAAAGGGGGAAATTAGCAAGCTGTTCCATATAAGTTAAGTTTATTTTAGTTATTGAAGGAAGTATGCCACTTATAAAAGGCGGCCTTGATAAGCCATCCTAACGAATGTGTATAATGGAGCTTAAAAAGACATAAAATTGAAATCCAATTGGCAAAAAATGATTTGGCCATAGAAGTTTGACACTGGGCTTGCCTCTCTGTCACACTATTACTTTAGGAAAAAAAAAGTGTACATAATGGTGATCTCAAGGGAACAGTATAAAACTATAAATACATACATATAAAAAAAAAAATTCAATCTCAACTAGCATGGATTCAAATTGCATACTTCATACTTGTATAAGACATGAGCAGCCTATAAAAAGAACACTTAAAAGATCTCGCTTTGGCAACAACCTTATATCTTGGTCATCCCAAACAATCAAACATTATAGTTAAAAATACAACAAAGTACTGACAACACTTTAATTGAAGTTCAAACTTCAATTAAGTTACTTGTACACCCAAAATTTATATTGTAGCTTAGGATGCTACTAGTAAAATCTTACCCACCAAGCCTACTAAAATGATGCAGAAAAAATCATTTACTATGGAATAAAGTACTCAAATATGTATGAAGTAGCCTACAACAGAATAAACATACCTAAAAGATAGTCAAACAAACAACAGCGGCATATAAATACCCAATTCAGTCAATAAGATGCTAACATATTATGCAGGAAAAAATTTGAAAAACCATGGATGATATGATTATATTAATTTCTTACATAAGCATCACATCCTCAACTGATGATGCAATCGGGCCAATTACTTCCACAGTCCCTGAACCACACAATGACCTAGAAACAAGAATGAAGATTAGATTTTATAGAGGAAATCATTGATAGATATATCCAATTCTTAAAAACTACTCCCTTTTAAATGCTTATCATACTTTTGAAGTCAAATTTGACTATTAATTACTCCATACTCTTCATCCAGAGTTATAAAAATAATAGAAACATATTGCTATAGATTAAATGTACTTTCTTAATAATTTGTATTTTTTATCAATATACCCGTACAGGCCGTATTCATATTCAAAGTTTGACTCGGAAAGTGGAAACAAGTACATGGAAATGGAGGGAGTAGAACTCAATGATGCAGTGATTACCCTCTCATGTCAGTTCTTCCATACGTTGTTTTCAAGCCCACGACCCCACACAGGGATGAAGGGATGCGAACTGAACCTGGAGGTCACAAAGTTCTAATCAGTTTCCTAGGTAACATCTTCCTACTAAAAGAGAGCTGCTTGCTGAAGATTTCAGTGAGATAGATTATTATGTTTATAGCAACCTCCACCATCTGTCCCAATAGAAGCTGAACATAGACCCGAAGCTACAAGTGCAGCTGGGCCTGATGAAGATCCACCAGTGTACCTATCATGTGCATGTGGATTTCTTGTTGTTCTGAAAAGAACAAACCACATCTTAGTGTCAAATAGAAAGAATATATTAGATTGGCAAGCACAGAGATGTAGATACTTCGATTCTGAAAACAGAAGAACTTTCGGTATAAAGAATTGAAGCAGAAAAACATTATAGTCTGATATGCATTTGACCAAGGAACTTCCACCTCCAGCAACTAAGGTAGTCTATCTTTTTGTTGAAAGTGTTAAGATGCTGAGCAGATATAAATTGAGTTGATCAATTAGTAGCAGGTCCTAATGATTGAACTAATGTAGACATATCTGGTGGTGCAAATATTTTACTTATTACTTGTATGAAAATTAAAACTCACCCGTAATTAGCATTGTTTCCAGTTGTCCCTAGACCGAATTCATGCATATTTGCCTTTCCAATCAAAATTGCACCACAACTGCGCAACTTAGAGACAGAAACTGCATCCTTCTTAACAGGGCGAACTTCATGAAACCATGTTGTAGCACCTGTACCAAAAAAATCTGAGGCTAGTTTCATGCTTGAAGGTATATAACATAAGTAAATTAATTCTCATTATGACTATACCCTTGGACGGATATGGATAACAATCTATATCATCCTTGATTGCCATGAAAATTCCATCTAGAACTGAGATAGGATTTCCTGCAAAATATATGTCAACACCTTAGTTCACCTCAATAATTATTGTTAAATTCTAATTTGTCAAAAAAACACATAATGCAAGGACAAATTTACCCTCTTCAAATCTTTGAGTAGATGCAGCTGCTTGCTTCCTTATGTCCTCCACATCACAAGATATGAGTAATGGGGAAGTAGGATTTGTATTATCAAACTCTTCCAAGGTTGAGATTAGTTTCTCAGCAACCTGAGCTCATATTTAATCTTACGTCATGAAATTACAAAACAGTGGAAGGCAAAAGGAAAGATAATTACTAATAAGGTATCAAACCTTGGATGGGGTAACAAGCTTGGCACGATAAGCATAGGCAAAATCACGGATTTTCCAATAACGAAATGATGTTGCTAAATTACCATCCCAACAGCCAGCAGGATCATATTCTGGGAGACACTTTAAGGCTTCTGCCACACGGTCCTCAGGGCAACCAGTTTCTTCAATAACAGAAACATTTTGCTCTGGTTCTGAAAGGCATAATTCAAACTTGTTATATTGAGACCATTCACTTACTCAAATAGGTACATGTGCACCCCTATTTCACTAGTTAAAAGGCTGCATTCTATGGTTCAGTATCCTTATATATAAAATTAAATCTTGGAGCAGAAGTTACAACCTTGGGGAGGGAACTCAGGTATATGCATGGGAATTTCTGGTATGACAGTATTCTTCAGCAGCTATTAGTCATCAAATGTATGCTGTTACCGCACTTAGCTTCAAAAGCAGCATTAAAAAGCAAGTTATACATGCTTATATCTACGGGAATAAGAAAATACCTCAACCGCATTATTCTTCTTTCTCAGGTAAGAAACAATAAGAGGACCTATGACCGGAGCTTCAAGAATGTTAACAAATAATCCAAAGGCTGACCCCGTGATATGTGGAGCTGTAAGCCAAAATATATAACATGTAAGCATCTAGGTTATCAAAAGTCAGGTTTCATCAAAGTATCAGACTGTCATTGTCCGGCTAGGAAGGCTTATAAAAAATGCTACATCAAGGACCATCAAAATTATATTGTAATTGGTTCTATCTTGAATGAGATAGGGCATTTCCAAGGTCTAGGATTATCTACAACAAGAAATGTGACTATATTTGCCAAGCTCAAATTCTTCTTTAAACTTAAATCTCTACAAACTCTTCCTTGAATCCTTCGGTGCTATTAGCCAGCCTACATGCCTTACAGTTTATGTGGCCATAAGATCATGGATTCTATTAAAGATCATTCCATCATCTAAATGCAACATTAAAAAAAAAAAAATAATAAATAAATAAATAATTAAAAAAAAAAAAAAAAAAAAAAAAAAAAAAAAAAACCTATATGCAACAATTGAAGAGCTTCCACCTTATCAATATATGAAAATATGTTGGACATGTATCTTAAACTCACACCACAAGATCCAGTATTGGCCATTATGCTATTGCATTAGCTGTCAAAAACTGTTATTTAAGTTGTCTATTGTTATAAATATTGATTACAAAAATTCGAGATGCATATATCAGTCACTTAAAGATGTAGAACCTCTCAATTAGTATCATAAAACAAAAAATGATGCTGATCAAAGATTTTAATTATCCATAATCACAATTCTTCCCACTAGTCGAGGAAAAACAAATAAACATTTTATAGGGAGATGCCGCGTGAGGAAGCATGGATCACCCCCATGAGCATATAAGAGTATATGGCCTCAGTCAAAACATTGCTCATGACAATCTACTCTGAAGAAATATTAATGCAGCTTTATGATATCGATTCATCTATAATCCAAAGATAACTTTTGGAGGCACATTATATCAGTTCATAAACTCCTTTCCCCAACTTGCTCATTTGAATTCAAGAAGACTTAATACAGTAAATTCTCATTGAACTCCCTAAAACCCTCCATCAAAATATCATAAAACCTCATCACTATTCATAAAACCACTTTGATAGCATCAGATTATAGAAATTCAATTACTTTACTAATAAACTACAATTACCCCTAATAACAACAATTAACAGACAAATAACCCACTTAAATTTCCCAATCAAATTCAAAACTAAATAAATAATGAAGAAAATTAAACCTTCAATTTGCTCATACTGATATTTGACTTCAGTCAAATCAACTTCATCTGTAGGTGTCATCACTTTCTTCTTCACCATTTTTCCTAAAATCAATAATCAACAAACAAAGCCACTTCATCAAATCATCTAATTTTCAAAAGGGTACCTCAAAATTCATCCCAAATCAAATTATCTCAAAACATAAGAATTTTCACCCAACATTCCAAAGATCAATTTTTTATTTTTTTAAAAAAAAATAGCAAAAAAAAAGACTGTAAATTTACCTCAATTAATTCCTCAATCAATCAAATCTTAGGAATCAAAGATTAAGTTTATGATGACGCTGAAAGTGTCAGCTCAACAGAATTTGTAGGTTATATATGCAAGTTTATCGAGTTGCTTTCCGCAAATTTAAATGCATTTTGGTAATCTTATTGGTGGGCAGTTATGAAATTGCCATCTGCCTCTTATTTAAGAGTGAAGTAATCAATTATATTTAATTATGCAATTGCCCATTTCATGAGTCCATCCCATTTTTGTAGGACTTGACAATCTTTGGACGAAATAGTCCAATCTTTTTTTCCATCTAATCTTAATTTATTTCTAGTTGCATTTATTTTGAGGGGTTCATTTTATTTTTGTGGGGTTTTTGGATAACACGTAAGGCACCTGACAACTCCGTCACTTTATTAGAACAAACGGAGGGAGTACTTTATTTTCACGTATTTAATGAAGAAAAAAAATATATTTAGGGTCTGGTTTCATTAACTGAACTGAGCTGAACTATTGAACTAAACTTATTAGAGCTGAATTGAAGTGAAATGAGTATTTTATGAGAGAAGGAAATTGGGAGCTCAACTGAACCAAACTGAACTTATTAGAGCTGAACTAACTGAAAATAATCTGATGAGAACAGGGCCGAGTGCTATTTTGAACTTTTACATTTGATATCCAATTTTTAGTTTATTCCAAATGATATCACTATAATTTTAATTAATTTAATCTCTATTGTAGCATTATTTTATCAAATATATTATGTATTCTTCGATTTGGGTATCATTAAAATTGATTTGTTAAAGTTTTAAGAGGATGTTTGCCCTTAGCGACCTTAATGTTTTAAGTTTGAGGTAGAAATTAGCAAAAAAAAAAAAAAAGAAAAAAAAAAAGAAGTCGTGGTTTATGTGCAAGAAAATTATCTCAATTCGTATATTTTGATATGTTTTACAAAAACAATGTTCAGTTAGTTTTGGGAGCCACTATGGCTTAAAGAATCAAAATTTGAAATTAGAAAAAAGAACTACAATCGCCCCAAATTAATGTTACATTTAGCAAGATGCCATACTAAATAAATACTCATACAATAGTATCATATTGAGTAAATAAAACTAAAAATTGGGAAACTAATAAATTATGTTCATGAGGTTGAGGTGATGAAGTAGTAGCATCGCTTCCACCTCGTATTCCTGAGGTCTAAGGATCAAGTTTCATGAGACTCATTTTAGGGATTTCCCTATCTCCCCCCTAACCCCCACCAAATAAGCCCCCTTCTTCTTACCAAAAAAAAAAAATAATAATACTACAATCTTATCAATAAACTTATACTAAAGGCGAAGCTAGGAATGACACTTGTCATTTCCTGGTCAAAATTTTTCCCGCCTTTTTTTTCTTTCCTTTTTAATTTTTTTGCCATATTTTTAATGACATCTATATATTTTATAACCTATAATAATTGTCATTTCCATTTTGACAACATATTTAATCCATTATTACTCAATTAATATTTATGTACAAATATTCTCTATATACTAGAAAACTTTTAATTACAAAAATACTAACATAGATTTAAAAAAATAAGGTATTGGAATATATGTCGTTTTCCAAGATTATTATAATATTATCAATATCATTTTACAGAAAAATCATTTTGGTAGCATACTTTGTACGGAGTATTAATCTTAAAACTATAATAACGTTTATAAGAACAAAATAATTTTGTTATAGTATACTTTGTACATAATATATATTGGAAAATTAAATCTAATTGTTCTAAACATTTATGTGATTATTTTTTTTATTTAAAAAAAACTACTACTCACTAAAAATATATTTAAAAAGTTGATTACAGAATTCTAATTATCCTAAAGTAAAATGAACTCATTTGAAAAGTGGGTAACGAGTCCAATATTGACTTGTGGTCCGAATCGTGGGTGGCTAATGCAGAGGGTCGTTTTCTCCTGAGTGATGAGTCCACTGATATCTCCAAAGTCAGTGACCTAATCGATATTGATAGCAGAGAGTGGAACATGGACATCCTTGATAAATATTTCACGGAGAGGGACAAACAATGCATTTTAGCTATCCCCCTTAGTGAAAGAGAGCAAAATGATAGTTTGATTTGGGCTTTTTCCAAGTCAGAGGAGTACACTGTAAGTTCTGCTTATTTGCTCGGGAAAGGATGCGAGATTGATAACTTCCATCAAGCGTGGGTTGAGATTTGGAAGGCGGATGTGTCTCCGAAAGTTAGACATTTCTTTTGGAGATTATGTACCAACACCCTCCCTGTTAAAAGTCTTCTGCATTTCAGACATCTTACAACGGATGTGGCATGCCCCTGGTGTGCCACCGAAGCTGAAACTGTGAACCATGCCTTTGTTGGTTGTTGGCGAGTGCGTGAATTATGGGATGATTGCAGATGCTCGTTGATGGCAAAATGGGGTGAGTATGATTCTTTTTGCGATCTTGTAGTGAGTTGGAAGGGTCTCGAACCAAGGACCATTCAAAGAGGGATGTTCCTTGCTTGGTGTATATGGGGAGAAAGGAACAACAAGGTGTTCCAGAACAAATCAACACCAAATGCTGTTCTTGTAGAACGAGTGGGCAGATATGTCGAAGAGCAAGGAAAATACGCAGCTCGAATTTATGGGGCTGCTGGTCTTCGTTCTCCTCCAAGTCCAAGCAGATGGCACGCACCTCCCGCAAATATTGTCAAAATAAACGCAGATGCTAGCCTCGCAGATGAAGGTTGGGTTGGCCTTGGAGCTGTGATTCGAGATCATGAGGTGAAGTTAATTGTTGCAGCAACAAGGAGGCATCGGGCCTTTTGGTCCCCTGAAATTTCAGAAGCTAAAGCACTATTATTTGCTCTGAAGCTTGGTAGAAGATATGGCTTTCAGGAGGTAATTCTGGAATCAGATTGCAAATTGATCATTGAGAAACTCACGAAAAAATCAGCAGCCTTGGAGATGGATATGGTACTAGGTGACATTCTTGCATTGTGCTCGAATTTCATGTCTGTCAAATGGTCTCACGTGAGACGAGATGGTAATTGTGTCGCTCATAATTTAGCAAAATTTGTTCCTTTTGGATTTGAACAATTGTGGGAAAATCATGTTCCCCAAGAGATTTCCTCCTTTGTACTTATGGACTCTTTGTCCCTTGATTAATTAAAGTCCGAGTACGTGGTTTCAAAAATAAAAAAAAAAAAGTAAAATGAACTCAAATAAATTTTCATATTATGCCGATCAAAGTGTGTCAAAAATTTAAGGACAAATGTATATGATTAATACTACTTCCCTTAGGACTATATATAGCTAATAATTTAATTTTCTTACATAAAACCTTATATCTTCTAAGTTTCTATTACTATATTTTTTTATAAAATCCAATCTAATAATCTTTACATTTAATTTAAGTTATTTTGTTACAAATAATTTTTTTTAAATAAATTATTGTTGAATTAACACCATATTTATTATTTATTTATTGTAAAATTTAATTATGACCGTGCATGGCACGAGACTTAACCTAGTTATTTATAAAATAAAATCATACTGTCTTTTCTTATTAGAAAAATGTACGAATACTAGAAACTTAAACATAAACCGTCCCAATTTCTCATGAAATTTACAATCTTTCCATTTTGTAATTTTTACTTGCTAAATTAGTCTTCAATTTTCCCTAATTTTTCAAGCCCTAATTTCAATTTTCCTGTTTCTAACAAGAACAACGATGAATTGAAGAAGAAGACAGAAGCTGCTGAACTGCAGAAACTTTAGGTATTGATTAATTTAACTCATTAAACAATTGGAAAATTGTAAACTAATAATCCACCTTTACCCTGTCTTGCATAAATAATCCCACCTTTTGAAATTTCAGAAACAATCCCACCTTTGACAATGATCTTCCACTAATGATCCTTTTGACCTACAACATGTTAAACCGGTTAATAATTTTTTTTCTTAGTCTTTCTCCTTGGACCACCAGTCCACCACCATTCCACCCACGCAGCTCCTTCACTCACCATACCAGCCTACCTGCTCACCACATTGACACCTCACCTAGCACCAACAACATGCTGCTGCCCTTCTCCCACTTCACCACCAGCGGCAACCGAAAGCAGCCGCGCTTCTACTACAGCCAACAACCATCGCACCAGCCACGACTCACGCACCTTTCTCACAACAAATTCGCAACTGAAGCTCACAACAAGCAACCAGCTTCTGCAACAGCCGGTAAACCACCGCTTAACCCACCTCACAACGCCGCATCAACGCGCCACCAATGCAGCCCACTTACAACCGCCGGACCTCCAATTCAATAGCTGCAACATCAATTCACACCCACAATTCAGCCCCTAAATTAGCCCCAAAAATAATTTAAAAGAAATATCAAGAGTCGATTTTGGGCTTTGAAGCCTGAAAACTCCATCCCCAGCCCCTAAAAACCCGACCCATCCTTGAAAACCCAAACCCTAGCCTCGAAAAACTCGACCCCAGCCACCTTCCTCAAGTTAGTGAAGGAGAAGAAGAAGATACGAAGAGATCATTGAGAAGTTGAGATTAAGTCGGACGCCTAGGTTGGGTTGCCGAGGAAGGGAGGCGGCTGCGACAGTGATATGGAGGGGCGGGGGTGGGGCTAGCCCCGATAACAATGGCGGGGGTTAGGGGTTTTTTTTTTTTTTTTGTTTAATTATAAAAAATAGAATAAACCAACTAAAAGTCGACACGTGTCTCATAACCTAGTAAAACCGGTTACCAAAATAATTTAACCGGTTATGGATTGTTAGTGGAAGACCCCGTCAAAGGTGGAATTGTTTCTGGAATTTCAAAAGGTGGGATTATTAGTTTACATTTTTCCAATAAATCTCATTATTTCAATTTGCTTGCTTATATTATTTAACTTATATTAGAAGATTGATTTATTCAATTGCAATTGTTAGAAGTAGACTAAACCAAACTGCATTTTGCCTGCATTTGATTAATAATATTCATGGTTGTTGATTGAGCATTTGAGATGGTTGTTATGGCTAGGTTTATTGGATGCAAAATCAGGAGATTGTTTTGATGATTTATTTTGTTTCCAGATTATTCTTGTTTTATAATCAGAATTGTTTTAGGTTAGAAATATGGAGTATTAAAAGTCGAATTCACTCTCTAAGGACTTGATTACAGGAGTAAGAAGTATATTTGGCCGATATCACCTGAGTTTTGTTGTATATTCGTTGTTGTTTCGTAGCATTCGATTTTACCTTAAAGAATTGAAAATTGTGTCTTGGGTTTAGTTAGAACTTAATGATACAAGTGTTTTTTTTGAAAATAGAGTATGAATTGATCAATCCATCTTAGGAATTATAATGTTATATATGTCCTGTTAAAAACTGGCTGATTCAGATGTAAATTAGCAGTATGTTATATAATGTCCTCTGTATTTACAAGTTACTGCTATCAATTTTGATAAAGGAGGTTAAGGTCTTAAGGGAGAATGTTGTGCGAATTTAGCGATTGTTTGAGGATATTTTCAGGTAACCTGCCTGGTTGGACCTGTAAATATTTTTGGTGATAATGGAATGGTGTAGATTGGGATCCTAGAGCCCTATTACTTCCCAAAAATAAAGAAACAACTTTTGAACCCATTACAATACCATCTACATTGCACAAAAAAATCAGCTTGGATATTGATAGTCTAGTTCTACCCACAAATTTTGAGAGTCAAAATTCAACCTCTTCACGAACAAAATTCTTGGGGATTTTCAACCTTCGTTGGTTAATGACATATTTTCTTTCTTGATAATCGAATTTAACCACCTACAACCAAACTCTAGTAAGTTTAAGACTCTTTCAGGGTAGAGGACTGATAGTGGTGGATTGGCTTATATTGTGGTTTTGGGAGAGCTCTTTCCCAAATTAAAGTCAAGAAGAACCGCAATTCCCAAATTGCAGCCAAAGTTTTAAGAATTCCCAAAGTACCGTCCACGTCACCGGTTCAGGGGGAAGAAATTTTAAATCCGGTCTACAGCAAAACCGCTACCTGAAGTAGCGGTTTTTACTAATAAACCGCTACTTCAGGTAGCGGTTTCTTTTTAATAAATCGCTACTTCAAGTAGCGGTTTTTGTTTAATAAACCGCTACTTCAAGTAGCGGTTTTCTAGCAGGTATAATTTCCTGATTTCACTTTCCTCTTTCATTTTCGTCTTCTCACCAAAATCCCATCCACGCCTTCCACCAAAATCACACCTCCTTCATCGGAAGCCGGCGCAGCCAAGGAATCCACCGACGCCGCCGGAGCATTCCTCAGCAACGAAGGCCGCCGCTGTTGACGCCGAGGGTTCGACTTTAGTGGTCGGCTTCGCTAATTTCAGAAGAAACGTGCTGATCTTCTTGTTTGTGGTAAGTGCCCTAATTATTTTTTGTATTCAGTTATTGGGTTTGTTGTTGTTATTGAGTTTGTTGTTGTTATTGAGTTTCAGAATTGTATGTATGTGTTGTTGTTGTTGGTTTTGGTTGTGTTGTTGTTGTTAGTGTTCTTGTTTATTGTTGTTGTTATTGAGTTTCGGTTTTGGTTGTGTTGTTGTTGTTAGTGTTCTTGTTTATTGTTGTTGTTATTGAGTTTCAGAATTGTATGTATGTTTGTGGTTGGTTTTGGTTGTTGTTGTTGATTTACTTACCTTACATATAACCCTTGTAGAATTATTAATGGTTTCGATCACATTACTCAGTTTAGGTTGCTATAATTGCTGATTTTGAAAGTGAAAATAGAGCTTCTATACACAAAGTACATGAGCTCAAAGTACATGTAGTCATGACTTATGCCCATGTTGAGCTTCAAGAGGTATTAAGACCTTCATAGCTCAGTTTAGGTTGCTATAATTGTGTAGTTTGCTTGCTTGATGTTAGGACATTGCCACACTGTTAATGAATTTTTGCAATCTAATATCTTTGATTAATAATGGTCTTTTCTAGAATGAAACATGGAGGTTCCGAACTACCCTCTATATTGCTATTGGGGTGGAGAAATTGTCCACAAAGATAGCGATATAACGTATAGGGGTGGGAATCAAAAATTTGTGTTTGTACATTCTGCGATGACATATTCACAAGTTCTGAACAAGCTATATGAAGAATTGAGTGTTGATCCTAGAGGTGTGGAGTTGAAGGTGGTTATGCGTTATCCTATGGCTGGGGCATATGTTGCAATTCCGTTAAATGACGACAACGCTGTTAGAGCTATGTGGATTGCTGTGACTCAGAGTTCTTCTGTTGCAATGCAATTTTTTGTTATCGTGTAGGTCCCATGGAGCCGGTGATTCGTCCAGGCCCAGTTGATCCATCTGTTCTACGCTTGCAGACTTCCCATAGGAGCCACGATGTTTGGAGTGGCGTAGCTGATAGAGTTCTCTCAGTTAGGGAGCATATGGTCAGCGTGGGACGTGAGTGGAGGGTAGATGGCGGAGTACTAGAGTACGTTAGGCTTGCTGGGTTTTACGGTGTACATAGGATTTTGGGAGGAGGGTTTTTGCTTGATCGATCTCTTCTTACGGCGTTGGTTGAGAGGTGGAGGCAGGAGACACATACTTTCCACCTAGTGGTAGGTGAGGCCACCATTACTTTACAGGATGTCTCCGTCCTGTTAGGTCTGAGAGTGCACGGCCCTCCTGTCATTGGACCTCCATTTGAGGGATGGCATGACCTAGTTGAGGAGTTGCTGGGAGTTCGACCTGGCCATGATGATAACGGTAAGCCGTTTCTGGAGGGATCTACTTTGAAGTTGACGTGGCTCAGACGTCACTTCTCACAGATGCCAGAGGGAGCTGATGACTTGACAGTTCAGCGCCATAGCCGTGCTTACATTCTCACTCTCATGTGATCTGTTCTGTTCGCCGACAAGAGTGGCGATGCTGTGTCACTCTACTACTTGCCGTTCCTTCGAGACTGGGAGACAGCTTCGACCTACAGCTGGGGGAGTGCGACTCTTGGTTTTTTGTATCGGCAGCTATGTCGAGCATGTCAGCGAGATTCAAGACAGATTGGAGGCCCGCTCATCCTACTACAGTTGTGGTCGTGGGAGCATATTACTATTGGCCGACCATACATTAGGAGGCCTCGAGATCCGCCACAGGAGGACCCTGAGGCTGAGGATGAGGATGACATTTTGGGGACTCAGCATCAGCGAGGTGTTGACCCTTTGGCGTGCAGGTACAATGTTTGCTTCAAGTTCATGTTCTTACAATTCTATCTTTCAAGAATTATTATTAACATGTCTTTACAGGTGGTTACGTGTCCATCTATCGTGTGCGCATACTGCTTCTGGACTACCATACTACAGAGATGCGTTTGACCATCAGCGCGAGGACCAGGTACAATCGGTGTTTCTTTTTTTTTGTGCATTGTATTTCTTCCATTATGTTAGTCATATACATGTTGACATACTTGTTTTGGGAATTAGATGATTTGGCAGCCATATACTGAGGCGGTGATGGATCGACTTCCGGAGATTTGTCGCTCAGACATGCACATTTGGCGTTCACGGGCACCTCTGATATGCTTTGACGTCGTTGAGTTCCACCTCCCAGACCGAGTCCTTCGTCAGTTCGGGTTAGACCAGCCGATCCCACAGGATGTAGACACGGACGTTGCTCTACACAGGAAGGATCGAAGGGGACAGCGTAATTGGGAGATTCGGCATTCGGACCATGTACACGAGTGGAGTCGACGAGAGGCATTAGTCGTCCAGGGATACCCGTTCACTGGGACTTCTTCCCCGGCCATGACAGAGTACATGGCTTGGTACCGTCGCATCACGAGACTGGTCATTACTCCACCTTCGCAGGAGCGCCCCCCGAGTCATTACCAGCCAGCTACCTCTGACCTCCTGCTTGTATGAACTTCACTTCATTTCAATCTAGTTCTTACGTTTTTGATTTCATTTTACTAACATTAAAACTACACTTAAATGTAGGCACATGCATTTGCTGATTTGCACGTCCAGCTATCGGGAGCTACTGAGACCATCTCCCACTTGCCACCAGAGACGGCTATACCATTTGCCATACAGACGATGCAGGGTTTTACATCATTTTGTGGCCAAACCTTGTCTAGGGTGGGGCAGTCACACCTTATTCAGCAGCCTCGACCGTCCACGTCTTCATCTTCTACTGTGCACACTATGCCGATCAGACCACCACCTCATCGTGGAGGCCATTCAGCACGTGCCTTCCGTCCACCGACTCCTTCTCAGCATACTATCATGACATCTCCTCCACTAGTGCATCGCCAGTATCAGAGAAACCGACGGCGTAGCAACACTACGTCTGGGGTTGGAGTTGGCCTGGATGACATTCCAGAGGAGACAGCTGCATCATCTTCATCGTCACCTCATGGGAAGAAGCAACGCCCGAGCTAAGTGTATATTTTGGAACTAAACTAATTTTTTTGTAAATGCTTAGAATTGGATTTTGTTATATTTAATCAATTGAAAAATATTCGACTTTGCAATTTCGACTTCCTTAGATCTTCATAAACTTGTTATTTATGGTGGTTGTGTTGAAAATATGCTATATATCTCATGTTTTACAGGTACACAACTTGCAGGTTTTTTTTGAGTGATTATGCAAGTTTGAAAAAAAAACCAGTCCAGGGTAAACCGCTACTTCAAGTAGCGGTTTTTCAAAGTAAACCGCTACTTGAAGTAGCGGTTTTCCAAAATAAACCGCTACTTAAAATAGCGGTTTTTTGTAAACAAACCGCTACTTCAAGTAGCGGTTTTAAACTAAGAAACCGCTACTTGAAGTGGCGGTTTATTGCAAAGAAACCGCTACTTCAAGTAGCGGTTTTAAACTGGACCGGAAAAAAAAAACCGGTTTTTTAACCAGTGCTTACGTGGACGGTAGAATGGGAAAATAAAAAGATTTGGCTGCAATTTGGGAATTGCGGTTCTTCTTGACTTTAATTTGGGAAAGAGCTCGTTTTGGGAGAGGGGGTGTTGTCCTGATCTGAGGTGGGGAGGGGCAAAGCAAAGCGGGAGATTTAGGAATCAGTACTTAGGCATTAATGAAATGGTTGTGCAAGTGGGAGTTGTAGAGGGAGTAGTGGCTGTTTTCGGGTGTTAGGGCCTTAGGGGTGTTACAATGGTGTGAAGGTATCTGAAACTTTTTTTATATGAAAGAGTTGGTGCCTGATAAGCAGCCCTTAGCTTATACTCCATAAGAAACAACCCACTCACCTCCGATCAATGATGGTGTCCGCCTGTTCGGTCACTGGTAGTCCTACTGGACCTCAAATGTGGAGTCCACGAAGAGTATAAGGAACAGTCTGGGGGAGAGATCAGAGAGAGAGGGAGAGGCTGCACATTTGAGGTCCTTATGATCTGGAATGTACGAGGGAATGGACCACTATCTTATTTTCATTGGATTTTTTTGCTTGTGTAGGAGGATGTGAAAGACTGGGGAATTGATGTCCTTATGGATGCTGTTACACGGGTGGAAGAAAGTGTCAAACATAATTCAAGATGATGTTTAAGGCTAGATTTCTCAGATAAAGAGCGGAACTACTTTCACTCTTAGCTCATAAAATTAGGGAGAGAGAAACATTACATAATAGCGGTCTCATGTTAAAATAGGAACCGAGGAAGTGTTGTAAGTATTTGGAAACGAATGAAGAAATAAGTGTTGCAAATAGTCAATCACGGAGGGAGTATATTATAAGGGTCTGAAATTTCATTCTAGACTTTGTACATTTCCTCTTGACAAATTGGTCGAACAACTTGAACAGACAATATAATTTCCTAACAGCAATCTAGCTAAAATCTATGATTTCTACAAGTAGCAATTTTTTGGTATATTTTATAGCCTTGGTCATTTTGCAACAGACTATAGCATCTAGTGTGATAATGGAGGCGTAGACATGCAGTATGCTAGGCTTTTTTTTTTTTTTTTTTTATCTTTTGCATACAACTAATCATTGCTGATATTTTACTCGATACTAGAGGTGTCAAAATTCTACCCGATCCAAAATCTCAATCAAAATTCTGCATGTATCCGAAAATACAAGGCATTGATCATATGAAAAATGATTTGGCACGAAACATCCGAATCTAACTTATATCTAACTCAAAGTTATCCAATTCGATCACCTGAGCACACAGATTTAACTGTAACAACAGCCTCAAAAGCATATGATTGAAGATTTTAATTGTAACAATAAGCATAGTACTAATATAGTAATAATTATTTAGGAAGTTGTACAATAAATTTTAAAAAAGGAAGAACACATGATGCTAGAAACAGGGTGATGCAAAAATAAGAGGAGAGAGAATATCGGCGGGAATTGTGTGATTATAACGGAGGACCCAGAACTAATTGCAGTTGGCCTCCTTTTTTATTTTATTTTTATATTTGCTAGCTGGGTCCTAGTCACACTTGCTCCCACCTAGTGTTATTAATGCACATTATCCAAGAATATAATTATATTTTAAGCATATGGTTTTGGTATAATTAATTATAGTACGAAGTGTTAATTTTTACTAATCCACTTGATAAATTTCTTTTTTCTTTTTTCTTTTTTTAAGAAAAAAGAAGGTAAATTTTGCACTTTTGAAGGATTGTTTTTTACTCAAACATGCATGCATCATTAGCATTTGCACATACAATTATCAATTAAGTCCTCTATAATGATGGTTATTTACACAATTGTTAACTTTAAGCTATATAAAGTACCATGCCACCTGGTTAGTATTATTTATTTTACTCACCTTTTTATAGTCCTAAACTAAGTTTAAGAATCTTCAATATTATTCCGTTCTATAATTTTACCTCTTTTAGGGGAAATAAGTTAAGATAGATTGTGTTCGGGTTAAACAAATATTAGACATACTCAATTTAAAATTAAAAATAAAGTCCGATAATTTCAAACAAATCTTGTTACGGAGTACCTTCTTATAAAGAGAGGTCCCAGTGATTAAAGTGCACCTCTATATGTACTTCTTACCTGATTTGCTTCAAAAATTTTAATTACTAGTAGATTATACTAGTAGGTCTAGTACACTTATAGATCAATCATATCGGAACCCTTAGTAAAAATCATGTTAATATAAATACTCCAAATTTCTAGTATTTGACATATTTGACTTGTAGATCTAATCCCACGCATATCACATTTTTTCTACCAAATTATAAAATCTTGATTAAGATAAATGGTTGGAATTTATACACATAATCACATTATGCAACGGTAGTTGGTTATAAAAAATTAAAATACCATGTGAAAGACATCCCTTCTGTTAGCCACAATATTTTGGATTTTTGGTGACATGAATTCAAATTGATATACTAGTATTTTTTTTTTGGTCAATTATATGATTACTTATTTAATAGTGATAAATTCATGGTATTTATAAATTCACATTAGTGAATTTCTATTTTGAATTTTTGTATAGGAAGTGCAGTAACATATGACTATATGAGTAGATGAGACGCTGACTTAAGTTTAGGGTCTGTTCTCATTGATTGAACTCAGCTGAAACTGAACTGAAATGAATATTTTATAAGAAAAGGAAATTAGGAGTTGAATTGAACTGAAAATAAACGTATGAGACCAGGACCTTAGTGTACAAGTTTTGCTTTTTTTAAAGGTAATTATGTTGATAAACTAGTACGACTGTACCAGTATTGATATCCATTAGTGTTGAAATTTGTGAATAACGAGTGTACCTACTTAAACTATGTTAGTTATTTAAATAATGAAATGAGTAAAATTTGTATTTTAATGACATAGACGAAGTAGTAGTAATTATCGTGATTGTTCTCTAAATTAATTATTGTGGTCGTTTCCTTGTTAGCAAAGCACCTTATTTGAAGGGTTGTAACTTATAAAAT